GATGTACCTGAAATATTAGCACACACAAAAATATATGCACAATATATATATAATAATAGGAGAAATGAAAATTCAATCAATAATATTTTTTGTCATCAAAATCACAAGCTCGGTATCCCAGAATGTAACAGTCAGGCAAACATGTAATAATCAGACAATGGTCGATCGAGCGAGAGTTTGGAGGCGAACTATGACTAGGCAGTGGTCCAACAATGGTTGGGCGAAAGTCTGGCAGGGAGCGCTAGGAAGAAAGTCTAATAGTTATTATTTATTTCATACAAATAAAATTAATCCATAACTTCATGTGCTAAGAAGAAAGTGTAATAACCCTTAAATTTTAAAATATATATTTTTAACTTATAGCAGTTCAATAATATTTTAGAAATTATTATAAGTCCATTTTAAAAATCGTGTTCTTCATAACATAGATGTTGATATTGTTGTGTTCTAATAGTAATAATTATTTTTTAATTTTATGGGCATTATATATATATATATGAAAACAAAAAAGCTTCTTATTTAATTGCAATTCCTTAATAAATTGATATATGTGGGTATAAGTGGGTCTTCTAAGATTGTTAAGTGTGCGTTTTACAAACCGATTTTATGAGTCTTCTAGACATGCTTAATTAACTTATGAATATTTTTTCATAAATTTTTTATTTTCAAATTTGAAAATATAAATGGATTTATAAGAATTTTGTGCTAAAAAATAAATAATATAATTGATATAATTATCATTGTGCCAAAAATATATTTTATTATAAAAATCCATACCCACTTACAAAATATCTCAAGTGGCCTTATCCCTTTCATTTTGGCTTAGTAGAGAAGAAAAAAGGAAAATAAGAAGTAAAAGAGAGATCACAGGAGAGAGAAATTAAGGTTTGGAGGTTTGGAGACCATTGACTTATTTTTATCCGTTGGTCCATGTAGAAACACTACAGGAAAATTCATCAATTACCGGCGGTTCTCTAGCCGCCGGTAGTAACGACAGTCTGCAGATGATCCGGTTAAGAAAGTAGAGGTATTAGAATTGATTCATGTTAAAAAAGGTAGAGGTAGACGTTATCATCCTCATCTCTGCAACACTTAACTTAGTATTATGCTTCTCTTTTAATGTCCAACATTCGGCACCATAAAATTTTGAACTTTTCTGCCTTGAGTGGATGTATTGAAAATATCAATTCAAATAAAGTACAATTGTTTGAAAGTATAGCACGTACACTTGTTAATGGTCCATATTCACGGATATTAGAAAGTCCGGGCAGCGTCCAATATGGATTAGAGAGGGCATATAGGCAGATCAAAGTAGAGCTTGGGTGACCACTGAGTTCACAAAAATAAAAGAGCAGAATAAAGCATCTGACTGTGGGGGTTTAGGAAGCTCTCTTCATACTAGTGGATATGTTCCTTATACGGAACATAGACGACGACTGATAAAAGCTTTAAATTAGTTTATTAAATATATTTATGTTATTATAACTATATCTTATATTTTCAGAAAGAGTTTCTTGGTCGGGAGCCAACACTGCTGGAGTGGCATATGAGAACTCATCAATATCAAGCTGACCATCAGTGGGTTGATGAAAAAGACTAAAAATGCTCATGTTAGCATAATTTTTTAGAGTTTGGGAATATAAATTTATTATAATAAAACTAATTGTAATATCAATATATTTTATGGATTTATTCTCGCACGATGATTTTGTACAAGCTCGAAAAAGTCGTCAGTCCACTAGTGAGGGATCATCTTCATGATCGATCGAGATTTCTAAGTATCATACATGGTCATATGTTGTTGGAGGAAGACAGAGGGGGAGGGTATATGGCTTGGGTTCGCAAGGCTATACTTATAAGGGCAGTTCATCCACCTCAGCATTTTATGATCAAAGTGAAGCTGAAGAATTTGTAAGCCAGAGGGTTGTAGCGCTGACGAGAAAGATAAAAAAGATGAGAAAGGTTCAAAATGAAATGCAAGAAGAGCTACGATCCTATAGAGATGAAAATCAAAGGAAGAAAGAGCAAGAGAAAGAGCAATCACATGCATCTCCAGACAGCGAGGATACGGAGGAGGAATAGTACTATTTTATGTTTGATGAACTTATGATGATCTGATTGTAAACTTATTTGGTTATGAACTTATTTGGTTTAACTTATTAAACTTAGTTTTGAACTTATTGAACTTAGTTATGATTATATGTTTTGTTTGGTTTAACTTATGAATATATTTGTGATAATTGTTGTGATTGACTATAGTGGCGTGTTGCCTAAAATTGTTGTGATTGTTGTATTTTATGTGCAGGTTTAGAGTTTAGGATGAAAATCCCTCAAATTGAGGTGAGGCTGCCAATTTTTTTTTTCAAATACTACAGGTTTCCGACAACTAATCGGTAGTTTGGCCGCCGGAAACATCGATACCGAACGGGTAATTGACCCCGCCAAAAATCTACTAAAACCGCCGGTATATACCGGCGGTTTGCCGACGGTATCCATCGGTAAACCGACGACACACAGCCGATGAACTTTCTTCGGTTTGAACCGCTGGTAAGCCGCCGGTGATATTACCATCGTCTTAACGACGGTCTACACTATAATAACGATGATTTTTATACTAGCGGTTCAACGGACAGTATGCCGTCAGTAATAAAACCGGCGGTCAACGACGCTAAGACCGCTGAAAGATAATCGGCGGTATAAACCGCAGGAAAGTCGACGGCAAAGAAAACCGCCAGAATAACGCCGCCAGAAAAGGTTTCCGGCGCAGTGCCGGTGTTTTACTGAACCGCTGGAAAACAAGTAGTAACCGCCGGTATTGAGTGATTTTTCTGTAGTGAAAAGTTGCTTAAATCGATGTATGTTACATTTTGACTATCTTAATTTTTAATAATTCAAAGTTTTTTAGATTTCTTTTATCGAATTTATAATTTGGTTTTACAAAAATGCAGCTTTATCCGATTTTGGTAACTTTCATCCGTATAACTTTTGATATATTATTGGTACAACTATTTTTGTCATTTTGAGTAATTATTCAAGTTTTTCACAAGGTAATTTTGAAAAGCGGCTATTTTTATCAATTCAAATTTTCATTTTGACATCTAAAAAATAATATGTCTATTCAGTTAAAGCTTAAGAATGTTGCTATACATAACTCTCGTATTATGATAAAATTCAGAAAACTTAGCTTTGGCAATCTATAAAACATTGGGTGAAAAATTATTTGCCAGACGTTAGAGCATTTTTTTGTAGAATCATACAACAATATTGTGATTATTTCATTATTATAGAATGCACTTTATTTTTGCTTTGCCAAGTTGAATTCTTTTATGTTATGTATTGAAAATTCTGGAGCGTGAGGGGTATATTTATTAATAAAAGATTATATTGACAGCAAAAATGAATTCTGTTGGTGGAGAGAAGATACTATGTTGGCGGTGATAACATATTATGTTGATTATTATATAAGAAAAACTTGGGCATGAGGGTCATTCTAATTATTACTATAAAATATTTGGTTATTTAAATACTTATTAAAATTCCATATCAATATTTCTTAGTTTATGTTTTTCGCACAATACCTTAGTTTATTAATTCAGTTTTTTTAGCTCATTTAGTTGGAGTAATTGATTCTTGTTTTAGACTACAATAACATACATAATTGTGTTAGCTCATTCTTACTTTTAATTTTGTTTTTAGTTCAAGGGCAATGAGCAAGCTGAGTAAAATTGATAGGGATGCCGTGTTAGCTAGTTTCATTTTTGCAGACTTGACTCTTTTTTTTTTGTTATGCTTTCTATTGTTAAATGCTTTTGTAGATAAACTTCAAATTATAAATGTATTTTTTGATAATAAATATATATATATATTTTTTTAGAATTAGCCTTCTGCTTTATATTGTCTTCAATAGTGGCTCTATGTTGTATAAATTATAAGTTTAGTTTTTCTTAGCACATCTCTAATTGGATATTGGGGTGGTGAAATTATTCGGTGCAGACGTTCAGAGACCAACCAGAATATGCCACGTCGCCCCCTGCTTGGTACCCGACTCGGTACTATTTGATACCCCAGCTCGGTACCGATGATATGATGCATTCAGATTGGTCTCCGGATTGTGAACTACATTCGACGCCCGCACAGAATAATCTATCCTTGAAGTGAGTTTTTGGTTCTTGCCAAAATTGAGCATGATATGACCTGTGTGATATCGGGTTGGGTCGTGACAAGAAGTCACCCTTCAAATAAAAAAAATTACATTAAAATATTCTCGTTTTATCTTGCCTTCTTATTTTTAATTAGCTAAGTGTTGTTTGGTTGGCTAAAAAAATAATTGAGTGTAAAATAAATGCAGTGTAAAAAGGAATGTAGTATAAAAGGATTAAAAATGTAAAAAATGAATATTTTAGAATTGTTTGAATGAGTGTAAAGTAAATGTATGAAGAATATTTTTTTTAAGGTTAGAAATAACATAAATAGTGTAAAGTCCAAAGATAGTGGCGGTGGTGGCGGGTTGCAGTGTTGGTCGGTGATTGGTGGCGGAGGCAGCACTTTGTGGTGGCTGTGGTCAACAGGTGATGTTGGTGGTCGGCGACAGTGATGGTCTACTGGTGGTGGCAAAGTGCAACAATGGTGGGACGTCAGTTGGTAGTCAGTGGCCGACGATGACCAAGCTAGCTTGCTTGAGGGGTAAATGGTTTTAGCTCAAAACTTGACAAGTTTAGTTTACCTCAAAAATGAATTATAATGATTTATACAACATTTTCTTTTTTGAATTCATTTTTCATTAAACAAAACATAATTTTTTTTTTTAAATCATTGTATTTGAAATATCTTACACATATTTTACTTCCAACCAATTTGTAATCAAGTAAAATAAAAAGAACAATAGTGGATAGGTGTTGAGAGTTTCAATAAAACATTATTGATTTAATTAAAAAAAAATAAGTTTAAGCATATTTAAATTATTTATTTAAAAGATCTAACGTGATAATCCAACTAGACAAAGAGCACCTGATAGCTCGTTTCAATGAAACGCATCTTCCCATTGCACTCTTATTTCTGGAAGACTAATCGCTGCTCCTGAAAGCAAATCGAAGAAGAAAGGGGTAGAGATGAAGGGGTATACAAATGGCGAGATTCAGGACTTCGAGGACGAAACTTCGCCTGCCGGAGTAATCCTGGGTCTTGACGGTGGCACCACCTCCACCGTCTGCATATGCATGCTGGCGTCGGCATCGATCTCTTTCGGCGGCGGCGGCGAAGCTGCTGAATCTCTTCCGATTCTTTCTAGGGCTAGCGCTGGCTGTTCCAATTTCAATTCCGTTGGAGGTAAGAATCTCTTCCATTTACCTTGATCTGGGTTGCAATTTGTTCTAAATCAATGATAATGGATTTTATATTTTGATTAGGGCATTAGCTGTTCATTTATGCATGTATAGTTTTTTGGGCACACAGTTTAATCTGAAAGGGGTATATGGAGGAATTGGATAGGTTGTTTTCAATCGGCTATCTAAATTAGAAATCGAAGGAAATGTCAGTGCTTGGACAGAGTGGATTTATAAAACCAATTTTGATTACCTTCTTCGACATTTTGTAACTTTAAGTAATTGAACTTTGGCCTACCTAAATTTCATGAAGTGAAGCGACCCATAGTTCAATGATATTTTAGTTATAAATAAGACCGTCGATCTGTTTAAGCTTTTGCATTTTAGATGTATAGCTCTAGCCATTCACTTTTTGTTGCACGCATTTTAGATGTATAGCTCTAGCCATTCACTTTTTGTTGCACGACTTAATCATGAAATTCAAAATTAAAATTTTCTTTGAATTTCCATAATTTAAACTGTTATTTTTGCTGCTCGATGTAATTTTTTTTTAATTTGCTATATATCTTGCTTTCCCTTCTATGAAAAAACATTCTACTGTAATTTGCTGATGTCTTCCAGCAATCAGACTCAGATTTAGATCTACTTTGTATTTTCACTTTGTTTAGGAATTTGAGTGTTAGCCTTTAGAAGCTGCTTTAATGGGATCTTTCATTCGTTTCAGAGGGGAAGTTATCAAGTGCCTTGCCTTCCTGGTGCTTGGTGCTAATGTGTTCTTATGTAAGGTCATATTGCTCTACAAGAGAAAATTATTCTTTTATATCCCAACAGACATTGATCTTCTGATTGAGAAATTTGTCATAACCTAATCCGATATGACCCACAAATATAGGTCATACTATGTTGGATTAAAAAAAAATCATTATGTGTCGGATGATGACAGAGAAGAGTCGGAACGGAACATACGAAGATTTTTAATTTGGAGAAATATCATATTTCTTTTAAATAATAGACACCAGAGCTTCTAATTCTTCCGCTATACATTAATTTGCTTGTCGTCAAAAGAAATTTCTTCATTTCTATTTATCTACAAAAATATACAGTACAAATTCTTGCTATAAAAATCCTTGGCAATAGACAAACACAGGACATAAAATATAGAAATGCCAGGATAGTTAAAAAAATAATAAAAAAAAGAATAGAAAGGGTTCTTATACACTAGCCAGACTTAGAAAATCAACATACTCAACCATCTAGTTACTCCTGTCTTGACTTGAAAATGAAATGCTAAACACAAAATATTCTAACATAGCTCAGCAGATTACATTTCCCCCCAAATCAGTTCTTAATAATTGTAAAACCAATGAATTAAAGTAAAGCAGTTATTCTAATCTCACTAACAAACATACTTTAATGTTGTGTCAAAATTGTGTAGGGTTTTGCAGATAACTGGGCAGGTTGAAAAATTCAAAGAGCAGTATGCTGAGCGCAATATGCTGAACAAAATATAAATAAATGTATAGTGCAAAACAAAAAAGTAAGAAAACTCTCGCCCTTATGTCTCACATTTAGAACTCGGATCCTTATGCATCCTTTTTAGAACTTCTGGCCCTCATGCCTTCTAGTGCTTTCAACACATTCAGAATTTTCGCAACAAAACTCCACGAATATATTACAAAACTCCAAACATCACTCATCAGATACAAACTGAATATCATTTGGAGATGCACAATTGCATAGATAAACATAAATTAAATTATTTATAGAATTTTGGAGATTCGCCCTACTACGGGCATCATTTTAGCAATCAAACTCAATACAAAGTAGACAAATTCACTGACTTAGAATTCTACCAAATTATTAGAGATCGTACAGAGCTATATTTCAGAGGTTTAATTATTATACATTACTATTTTTTAGTCTATGAATATTTTCCTACAATTTTAGAAAACAATGTTTCACAAATACCTGACATAAATTAAAAAAAAAATCTCAATGTCTAATCAGGAAAGTTTCAAAATCATCGAATTATTAAAAACCGAGATAGGCAAAACGCAATTTACCTTTAACCAAACAACTTTCGGAACTAGACCGTTAGCATAAAATGACCAAAAGAGCCTCAAAACAAACTCTCTCCCTAGAAATCCTTCTCTGTCTCTCTGTCTCCGTGATGCCCAATCACACATGCCCCAACACTCCCTTTGGGATCCCACAATGATGTAGTGTTGCTCCCCGACGTCGTCGTGCTGAATTAATTTACAAAATTTCAGAGAGTTCAGCGTTTCAACGTCGCCTACCCCAACGCCATAGCACGTTAGGGGAAAAATTCTAGATTTCTAGAACATTCAAACAGACCCACGAGACCCGCTTTAGAGCACATGCTGACTTTCATATGCACACAAAACACTTTCAAACACATGCAGAAAGGTTCATAAGCAGATATTCAATATATTACCTTTTTTAGATCGAGTCAGAATTGGTGGAACTGTATACTGAACTTGGAGGCTTCACAAAACTAATTTTTCAAAAAAATCATATGGGGAATCACATGATGATTAGAATACACATGCCTTCATATATATTCTTATTGTGGGGTTCTGTCTTCTTTCATCAGATTGAGGAAATGGCATCCACCGGACATTTCCTTGGATTTAGTGTCCGATTCCAACATCTGTTTAGTTGGCGATTTTTTGTTAATAGAACTCTTTTTTGTTGGATTTAATGCATTTTGGGTATACTTAAAAATTTTCTTGGTCCTTTTCATAAGATACGGTTCAACTGCATAGCTGGTACTGGAAATTCCTTGATATGGACTACAAAAAGAGTGCCTTCTTTAATATTGCATTTCAAAAATTAAACTTCGAAGCTTTCTTATATATCTGTTATACAGAAGCTGCAGCAAAGGAGACACTAGAGAAGGTTATGGTTGAAGCCCTTTCCATGGCTCATTCTAATTGCTCAGCTGTTCGGGCAATTTGCTTGGCAGTGTCTGGTGTTAATCATCCTTCAGATCAACAGAAGATTTTGGAATGGGTTAGGTATGTCCCCTTGTTTTCCTTCAAGCTCGCCCTAAACCTGTATCTTTCATTATTTTCTATGATGACAAGTAGCATGTTAAAACTTGGATCTAGAGGCCACTGAGGATGAACTTTTAGGTCTACAGCAATTATCTCCTTATGTTTACTTTTCATGAGCATGGTCCCGTGTTATGTTGCGTGGTGCTTCTTCCTGTTAAAGTAATGGAATCAAGACCACGAATTTGCAGGTTATCAGTGGTTTTACCTCAGTACATCACTTATTTGATTTTGAAGATATATTGCTATTTCTGTAACAAATACTGCTGCAAAGTAATTAGGCTTATTCTAGACATACTCTATGCAATTCTATGTTGTTTTAGGCTAAATTTTAGTTTTATTTTGGTACAACAATTGTATTTAATGTTGCTTTTTAATAGCATTGCTCATCTTGTTGTGCTTTTAAAATCATTTGAATTGTCATAAATTATATAATACTAAATCTACCATGTGTCAATCTATTGAAATGTTTTGTATCTTTGACTTTATCATAATAGTTCATCTGATACAACATTTTGTATATGTAAAATTCATTTCTAAACTTAATGAACTAACATAGTTCAAACCGAATCTCTAAAATATTATTCACATTTCAGCAAAGATGACCTTTTCCACCATGGTCATGCTGGCTTTAATAGGTCCTTCTCTAGGTCATTTCAAAGGTGTCTAAGTTGAAAGATTAATATTAGGAATTCAGACTTATAGTCTGTTATGCATGCAGAGAGAAGGCTTTTGAAGGGATAGAGGAAATTTCCTATTTGTTGAAAGTGATTTTTTAGGTGCTCAGATTTCATCATCTTTCCGCACCAAGTTTTCCAACCAGTAACATACCCTGCCTTGCTTGGCCTAATGGAAGGTGTTTTAACTATCGTGCTCAAAGGAAATTTTATTGTTTCATTGCAGAGATCTTTTTCCTTGTTCTGTCAAGATAATCATAGAGAATGATGCCGTAGCAGCAATGGCAAGTGGAACACTAGGGAAGCTCCATGGCTGTGTATTGATTGCAGGCACTGGTTGTATTGCTTATGGTTTTTGTGAAGATGGAAGACAAGCCCGTGCTGCAGGTGCAGGACCTATACTAGGGGACTGGGGAAGGTTAGCACCCTTCTCACTTAGGCTGACTCTTAAATTTTTTAATATGCCAATATCCACAACACTCTTGCTACCCTTCACCCTAGTAATATTGAAAAACATTTCTTGTGTAAATGCCGTGTCTTTCTTTTTTGCTGCTCTTCCTACATTATGATATTTACAAAGCAAACATCTCGCAGATTTTGCTTGTTAACTAGTTTGACTCTGATTGGATCTGGTTTTTATCCTCATTAAATAGACCAAATACACTAACAACTAAGTTCTTAAATACTTTTGTAACTAAATGATAAAACTGTAAATTTTCTAATAACTTTTGAGGGTAATGTGGACTTCTCAAGCATGGGACAAAATTCATGAATTATCGCATGACCAAGTTTAGTTAAAAAAAAAAGAATTTCTGCTGAATGCCAAACTTTTGAAAAGGAGCATGTTATTTTGTGTTAACTTGCTATGCAATTCTTTAAAATTGTTAATAAACTTTTAAGTTTAGAAGAAATATACCTAAACAATAATGTGATAGATACTTTAAAATTGCTAATAACATTTTAAGAATAATGGATTACAGTGCAAAGGCTATAAATCACGAAAGTTGCAAGTTCAATGTTGTTTTGCACAAAAACTCTCCATGTTTTTGCTCCATCAAAATTTTTCAATAAATTCTTTAAAATATAAAAAATAGCGTGCAAATCACAAATATTACTGTGTAGAATAACTATTAGAATTTCACCCAACAACTACTGCACATATGAGTTGGGGAGCCAAGGAATGGTAACAATGGCACTAGAATGAGGTCAATGGCATGATGGCGACATGAGAGCAAAGCCCAGTTAGAGTGTATTGACCTGAATGGACAGGTGGTTAGGGTATAGCAAGAGAAATGATCACCCTTTCTTAATGCTTATAGGTTTTATGCTACTATTTATTTTTTCCGTAATTTTGATGTAAATTGTGTTGGACCATTGGTTTAATTAGTTAAACTAGATGAACTGGTTAACCCATGTGATGAGGACATCAGAAGATCAATGATTTACGGCCACGATCTACTTTTGATTATTATTGTATTTGACATTTTTATTTTATGTTTTATGAGTCTTTTGTATTTCTTTCCGTTCATGCCCTTGCTTAAGGGCCTCGTCATGTGTTTACCGGAAGGGCAATTGTGTATTTTTATTTTTCTTCATGTATTCGGCTATTAAGCCTTCTCCCTCCTCTTGGAGAGGGATAATGATTATTGTTAATGAAAATTCTTCTCTTTGTGTTCTCTTTGTGAGTTTATATTTTCTTGATATATTGGTGAGTTCAATTCTCCTAGATCTCTGGGTGAGTTCTATGGAAAACCCAAGGTGAGGGCAAAAGCAATACCCGCTAATCATTGGAAGAGTCAGTGGCTCGTGGTCTACCTCCACCATCCCCATTCTCCTTATCCTCCATTACCCGTCGGCCCTAACTCATTCCCAAGATCGTGATCTTCGTTCTCTTGGATTTCCCCTCACCAATCCTCCATCCTGCCGCCCCTCCCCAGCTGGCCGCTTGCTGCCCGCCGACTGCACCTCACCACCGGCCAAGAGGCCCGGCCGCCCAACCCGTGCAGCCTCCCAGGCTTGTCGCTGGCCTCCCCCATTGAATCCTGAATTCAAATGTCAGTTTCATGAAGTCCTCCTTTACTACTTTCCTAATTTAGTTCCTTAATTTGAGGCCTCCAAATTAATTAGATTTCAATTTGAATTTGAAATTCAAATTAATCTTAATTAATACCCTATTATTAGGAAACTTCTCAGTTTTAAAAGACCTAAAATTTCCGGTCATATTTTATTACATCTGCTTTAATTTGTGGGCCCCATTTTACTTAACACCAAGCCCTTCTCTCTCTCCATGTGGCCGGCCACCTCTCCCTTATTGTTTCTATTTAATTGCCACATCACCACCTCTTAAATACCTCCTTAATACTTCCCCTCTATAACGTGATTTCAGTTTTATTTGAGATTTCAAAATCTGAGATTGAAAATAAAGATTATTCCCTCTCAGATTTCCTCTCCTCCATTACTTCACGTTGCTTGCTTGTTCCATCAGTCTTGCTGCTAAGTTTTCCTCCCTAAACTGAGAGTTAGAATTCCTCTCAGATTTATGAGAGAAGAAAATCTGAAATATTTCAGATTCCTCCAAAGAATTATTTCAGCTTTGTGGAAGAATTTAGAAAAACTAGAAGTTTTCTCAGATTTTGGTTCCAAAATCTGAAATTCTTCCTTTCCCCTTGGGTACTCCTTCAACCCTTGGCGAGAATGCATGGCGGAACCCGAATGGAACTTTGGATTTGTGCATGACAATCGAGATCAAGTCGACATCATCCAATCACCATTCTTTGACGTGGGCTTTGATTTCGACAACACCATTGAAGAATACTTCGACCGTATCCATTACACCTTAGTTGACGTGATCGACGAGCAAAGGTCAAAGGGACGTTGGATCATCATTGGACGACAATAATCCTCCACCACTCCGGCCACCTATCCAAGAACGACGATCCTAGGTTCCTTCTTCCTCGGAGTGACCTCAATTCTAATGTGGATAATCTTCTCTCGCCAAAGCCTAGTGTAGTTGAGTGATCAATCCCCGAGGTGAAACTCTCATTATTAAATTGTGGATTGTTAGTTAATAGCTCTTCGTATTGCTACTATTTTTGTTTATCTACAAGATTTGGTTAATCTACATGTGCTCCTTCGCCCAAGCAAGTGGAAAACTAAGGTTCTTTATTGAACCTCCTTCGCATTGCTACTATTTTTGTTTATCTACAAGATTTGGTTAATCTACATGTGCTCCTTCGCCTAAGCAAGTGGAAAACTAAGGTTCTTTATTGAACTTCCTTGTTATTACAATAAGCTATTGAGTGGAATTACATCGCCAATGTATTCTTAAATTCCTTAATGAGCTCCTGCGCAATTTGGTTTCACATCACCATGACACCTATTTAAAAATGATATCATCACTTACCCAATTTTAACACCATGATTTTTTCAAAAGATCGACTTTCATGGTCCAGTTTCTGCTTTCTTCTAAGGAATTGCTGGAGATATTTACTAGATACCAATCATCTGAAATGAAATTAGGAATTCCTTTCATATCTAACAGCCATTGGAGTGGTTCCAAATGCTCGAATGACTACTTGTGCTAAAAAAAAGATATGTTTACTAGGGTTATTTCTAATCAAACTGTGTTTTTTCCCTGTTAACTCACAGAATGGTAATCATATTCCCATATGCTTCAAGCAAACTCAAGAAGGCTTTGTGACCGAAGGAAATTGAGGCAGAACAAACTCACGGGTGGTTATTTTGCATGTGATTGTGAGTGTGTAAAGAGCTTAGATTGATGCCTCATGTGTCCTTGATCAATCACTCTTGAATTTCGTCAAGTTTGTAGCCGAAAACAGGATAAAATAGCAGCGATTCGACGTGGGCAGCAAGGTAAAACCTCGGGTAGCAACAAGGGCACAGTTGGGAGGGTGTTATGGAACATACCAACAGCATAAGATAGCAGCCCAGCACTTAATGGCAGCACATAGGAAAGGGTGTATGAGTAATGAGAGAAGTTATGGTTGCACTTAATAACATTTAATGGGACTAGGGAAATGAGATATGATTAATGGTTTGGATTAATGAGGAGGCCTTGGAAAGTTGAGAAATTAATTTGAGCTCTGGTAAAGGGAATAATAGATAATGAGATGGCTCATTAAATGACATTGGAAGTGGATATCATAATGGAAAGGTTTGGGAAAGTGGAGGGAGAATTAATGGCTGATTTTGGGAAGGGTGAGGTGGCTTGGGAAAACTCCAAAATTAATTAGATTTCAGAATTTGAAAGTTTAATTAATGTTTGGTGGAATGTGAAGGGTCAAAGGATATGAAAAGTCATTTTGAAGGCTTGGGAGTTGGGGGGCTGATTTTGTGGTGTTGGTAGGGCTCTCGGTGGTAGTTGGATTGGGATGATTTGGGGTTTCCGTTGGTTAAGGAGGTGGGATAGCGGTCATTTGTTGGGTGGTGGGGAAAATGAATGAAAGGTGGCTGTTTGGGAATGAAAGAAATGTTGTGTGATGGAAGGGATGGTAGTTGGTTGGTTGTTGGATGTAGAAAACAACAAAAAAATTTGCAGTTTGGGAGGGCTGTAGGAGCAGTACAGAACTTGGGATTACTAGTGGGGTTGGAAGGATGGACGGTGGGGTGGTTGTTGGAGTTCGGCCGGATGGGTGGGAGAGGGTGGTGCTGCTGTTTGGAGAGATAAAGGAGGAGAAGATAAAAGAAATAAGAAAGATACAGACCAAGAACCTTGCCACAGCGACGGTTGTTGGGTAAGTCGTTAGCCCTACTCCAAGGGACTTTCTCCACCACTAAACTTACTAAGAAAGGAAACTAAAATTGAAATTCTTATATAATCATCTTCATCATCTATTACAATAGCTTAAGGCACTATATATAGGCCACAACATAAGAAAACTCAAAAGAAAAAGTTGTCCCTTGGGCAACAACACTCACATAAACAAATTTAGGAGGTAAAACAGGGAATAACATAAAATAAGAGCTAAAATTCAGAAAATAACTCATAATTTAAGATTTAAATTATAGCCGTCAATTTACGACGACTTCTGTGATAGACGCGCCAAATCTTCGTATTGATGTCTGCTTCAGAAATACTATAAAGAAGCAATATTGTAGGTGGATATATAATCTTATATAGACAGATTTGGAAAGGAGATTTTTCTTGTAGTCGTTTTTTCTTCTAGTTATCAGTATTCCAAATTTCCAACAGTGAACCACTGCTGCCTTTCTTTTGTATGATTCTTCCTGTAGGATTTGCAGATAATGACTGATGTTCAACAGTTAAATACCCAGATTCCAAAGAGAAAAAGCCTCATAAACTGCAATAATTTTGAAATTTTTGCGCTGAAGCTGCTGAATGAGTATGCATACACATGTTGGTGTCAACATTAATTCATTCTTTTCACGGTTAAAAACGTCTTGAATAATTAGGCATATGCTGGGGTTTCTGACTATGTTCCATTTCTATCTCATTTAATAGTAATACTACTCTTCTTTCCAAGTTTGATGTACAGTTTACTTTAACTGTGTCTTTAAAGTAACTAAGGTTCTGCCCATTCATGCACATGATGACATCCTTATAAACCATTCCATTAGTGTTGAAAAATATTTTAAGTTAATTGGGTGATATGCTAACAATCGTTGACTATGTTCTACCTTTACCACCTTTTATTGTATGTTTTATACACAAAAATTGTAGGTGACCAGATGTGTCCATTACGCAGTGGTTATGGGATTGCCGCACAGGCATTAACTGCCATTATTAGAGCTCATGATGGTCGTGGACCACAAACAACACTTATGAATAACATCCTCAATGTGCTAGGACTTTCATCTCCTGACGAAGTTATTGGGTATTTTTTCTTTTCTCTACAACTTTTTTCAGAATAATTCCTTAACTTTCAACTTGCAAAATATAGAAATATGTATTCCAAACCTTGAACAGCTACAGATTTCCAATGATAGTTGCCAAAGCAGAATTTTCTTTCTAAGAAGCTGGCTTGCAAAACTGCATTTCCAAGCTGAATCAGTTTTTATATTTTGTGTAAAGTTGATGATTCATAAAAGAAGGAAAGCCTGCTGGAACCTTGTATTCTGGAAATAAAGAATTACCCTCTCAAACTGTGTGGCCACTTTCAATAAAGCCTTGCAAAACAAATTACCTTTTATTTTTTTATTCTAGAGAAAAACCTTATAGTTGCTCTTGCAAACAAAATTTCACGAGTTACCAAGCCAAAAGTGTCGGCTTAATGTCCTCTTTTCATTACTTTCTTATGTGGCGTAGGTGGACATATGCAGATCCATCTTGGGCTCGCATTGCTGCACTTGTTCCAGTAGTGGTTGCTTCAGCAGAAGATGGAGACGAGGTTGCCGACAAAATACTGCATTATTCAGTCCAGGAGCTGGCTGATAGTGTTAAAGCTGTCATCCGAAGACTTAAATTGTCCGGAGAAGGTGCACTAATCTCTGAAGTGTTTGTTATTGTCATTTGGTCTAACCATCTTTGAAGAACCTGTCATGAAACTCTCTCGAAAGGTTGTTCTTGACTTCTTGCCAACCATTCAAATATTTTCACGAATTTTTTGGTTGTAGATGGAAAGAGTCCTTTTCCATTGGTAATGGTTGGAGGCGTTATTGAAGCTAATAATAAGAAGTGGGACATTGGAAAGGAAGTTGGAAAGCTTATTTCAAAGGATTACCCAGGAGTTTTCCCCATTCGACCCAAGGTAAGTAAACTTTCAAGACTGCAATATATTTTGTGGGAATGGCAATTTTTTTTACAATTTAGCCAGTGAGTTGTAGCCTTTAATGAAAGATTAAGATCATTTAAATTTTGATGCACTGGAACTACTTCCAAAAAGCTCTTGCAACAAGTGAGACTCATAGTACGAAAGAATAATTTGGTGCAGGTATAATGTTCTCATTGGCCTGCACCTTAGATATGCAGCATGCATTTTTCATGTTTAGATGTGCAGGTTTTCATGCATCACTTGTGATCTGAAGGTTCTTACAACTGGATTTGTTGCCTAACTAGGGAATTGGCAAAGACTCAAATCCCTCAAAATTTGAGGATAAAGGATTTATAGACTATTATCCTATGGATCATGAGAATGGGGAGGAAGGAAGTACATTATCATTCAAATTTAGTCTAATAAGCATTTAGGACCCTCTCTCTGAAGAAGCATGTTGCATGTTTCTAGTGTCTAAAGATGGAAAGTTGGAAACAATCTTTCTGAACTGTTTTTCATAAACTAAGTGGCCACACATGCTGGCTCACAAAATACTGAGTTCTTGAGATATTTGAGTCAGTTGGATTTCATCCAATAAATTTTCAGGGGTTTTAGTTCCATGATATTTAAATCTTCTCCACTTTTAAATCTAACATCAAATTTTCTCTACTTACGAACATACCACTTAAATCTTTAAGACAGGTCAATAATAACACTCATGTTAACTCTTTAAATTCCGCTTCACATTTCATTGGTTCCTCTGTCTTCCCGATTGTTCTAGTCGCAGTCTTCTTGTCATGCTCGGCAACTAATTCCTTGTCTTATGAGTCTGTGATCTTGTCCGAGAAAGTGCAGCATTCAGAGGAGTGTTGAGGCCTCACCTTGCAACTTTGCCAGAGGAATCATTGAAAGTGTGTTTCTTGTACTCATGCTCCAAAGAAAGCTCCCAAATCAACTCAAGTAATCTCTCGTGCAGATCTTCCCTTGTGAAAAATGGATTTTATCTTTTTGTAGCCAGCAAGAATCTTAAACTGGACGCAGAAGCAAAAATTGTGGCAATAGCTGGAGAATGGGTCAGCTTTATCTGAAATTTATTCAGTGAAGGTGCCATCCTTATTGCGCCACTCAAGGAATAGAAAGAGCTATTACTTGTAATGAAGAAGTATAGAAAGAGCAAGGATGATCTACATATGATATTTATTGATTTAGAAAAAGCATATGACAAAGTTCCAAGATAAGTGCTCTAAAGAGTTCTAGAAAAGAAAGAAGTTAAGAATGTTTATATTCAAGTCATTTAGGATATGCATGCATGAACTATTACTTGTGTTCAAATACAAGAAGGTTTGATCAAGTATTTTACTATTTCAATTTGATTACATCAAGGATCAGTTCTAAGCCTATATCTTTTTGCTTTAGTTATGGATGTTATTCCTAGAGATTTTCAAGAGAATGTATATTGGTGTATGTTTTTGGCTAATAATATTCTTGTTGTTGATAAGACTGGAGAGGGAGTTGATGAAAAACTTGACTTATTGAGGTCAACGCTCAAAGGTTTTTGTTTGAGTAGATTTAAAATTATACGAAGTGTAATTTTAGTCATAATAGACCTAGTGGTGAGAGATTGTGATATTGGGTGATCAACTAATTAACCAGAGTGCACGTTTTAGATATCTTGGGTCAATTGTTCAAACAAATGGTGAAATAGACGGGATATTCTTAGTATAATTCAAGTTGAATGGTTGAAGCTGAGAAATGCATCAAGCCTGTTGTGTTATTGAAAAGTACCAATCAAACTTTAGGAAAAAAATTATAAGATGATGGTGAGACCTGCAATATTTTATGGCGTAAAACGTTGGCCATCAAAGGAGAAACATAAAATTAAGTTAAGCATTGCAGAGATGATGATACTCGTGTGGATGAGTGGCTTTACACTAAGAGACAGAATGTGAAATGAGTATATAGTGAAATGCTTGAAGTAGCTGTAGTGGTAGATAAGATTAGAGAGAATCGTCTTAGATGGTTTGGTCGTATAAAATGTCGGCCTTCCAATAATCCTGTTAGGAAAGTCGATGCATTAGATTTGACCTATGTTAAAAAAAGGTGGAGGTAGACCTAAAAAGACTTGATTAAAAAGTATTAGAACTGACCTTTTTTTATCAAATCTAAATGAGAATTTGTCTCTTAACAAAAACAATGGAGAAAAAAATATTCATGTAGGTGACCCCATGTAATGGGATAAAGGCTTGCTGTTGTTTGTTGATGTAGAGGATTTAAGTCTAATGTATGTAAATTCTCCTAAAATTTGCATCAAGTGGTAACTTTTCTCAACTACTTAAGAGGTTAATTCTATAATGTGCAGGTGGAACCAGCCGTGGGGGCAGCATTAGTTGCATTGAATCAGTACACTAAATCATTCAGAGTAGATCAATCTAGCTGATACATCTATTTATGGAAAAAAATTATGTAAATTACAGGAGATCTTGATGATGCAAAAGTAGTAGAGAAAAAAGAAATTCTCTCCAGAGCTGATTCATGGGTTCCATTAGATGTAAACTATATCAACTGGTGCTTGTTGCTTCGCTTCGCATCACTTCAACTTGCTATTTTTTTTCTCTTTTGATCAATTCATCTTGGCTTCTATTAGTTGCCCAAGGTTTATAATTGTTTTTAAGCTGTACAATTGTAATTTCTCTACTGAAATAGCAATACCACTTGCTTTGATATCTTAATCTTTGCTTATATGTGCATGTGATGTAAATCGGGGATATTATGAAAATATGTTTCTTTAAAGCATGAACTATGCGCAGAATGATGTGGCAAAAATATATCTTGCAGTTTAAATTTGTCTTGTCATTCAACTTGACATTTTGCAAAGCAGGAGTATCATTTCTGAAAATTATTAGGTGCGGAATCTCTACTTCTGGACATCCACTAAAAAATTGACATGTTAAATGCGCTTTGGTTGCGTTTTTGTGCGTTTTATCTGCAATTTAGTTGCGTTTTTACTGTTCATTTGTTGCGTTTTACCTACACTTTAGTTGCGTTTTGACTACTCTTTTGTTGCATTTTTTTACTGCGCCTTTACTGTGCTTTATTTGTGCTTTTGGGGCTCTTGGTTTAAAGGTCTGTGAACACATTAAATATATAAAGTAAAAAATAAATTTAAAAAGTGCACTCAATTGTCAAATTTTAAGTGGATATCTGCCGGTATCCGCACCTAATAATTTGCCCATGCAATAAGGCTTCATTTGGGATTGTCTTCTTAATTATCTAAGTTTTGAGAGTGGATATTACAATCAGACACTCATTAACGTAGGAAATAAAAGTTCTCATACCGAAAATAGTTGCCATTTTTCATTTTCGGTTATAAAATAATGCTTATTACTAAACATTGATTTGTATGAATGAGTTATTTGGATGAGTGTAAAAGAAATGCATGATATTACTTATTTTGTTTGGTTTGAATTAAAATGAATCAAATATAAAAAATGTAAAAAGGCAGTGGTCACTGGACGGCATTGACAGCAGTGTAGCCGACGGTGGATGGCCGGCCGACAATAGTTGCCTGCGGCTGGTGACGGTGGTGGGTGGTGGCCGACGGTGAACGGCTAGTTGTAGTGGTGGCCGGCAACAGTGAAGGGCGGTGGTGGGATGTTCGGCAGAAACGACTAGAAATAGCATTGGTGGTCGGCATCCGACACGTTGTGGCGGCAATTGTAATGAATTTTTGATGTATTTAGAACTCTTCCAAATTAGAAGTATTTTGTTGAGAAGCAAAGCTAAGGAAAGAACGATGAAGCAGCTTTCAGAAGAGAAGTTTTCTGAGCTGCTTAAATTTTTATTTTGTATTGATAAATATGAGTTATTAATATAATATTTCATTAATAATATAAAAGACAGGTGTCTCACATGCCCTTATTTTGCAATGCTTAATATTTTAATTCAAAGGATTGCTGGCAGGATTTATGACGAAGCTTCTTCAATATATGTCAAGAACAAAATGTTATTAGAACATTTTAATTGCAATTTAATCAAATGATTTTTCCTGTTTTTTGAAACATTTAGATAAATTCACATGCACATTATATACATGATAGCGGAGTCATTCCACATTAAGATTTCATTTTAGACGATTTTCTTAATACTTTTTAAAAATAGATAATTTTTTTATATTAAAAAATTGCTTTATTAAACAAAAAGAAAACCGTCCGAACAAAGTCTAAGGATTTATTTGGGATGACTTTTTACTGCTTATTAAAATAACTTTTTAGTAAAAAAATTTAAGAAGCAGTAAGAAAGTAAGAAACTCGTCCTCATCGAAGCGTAAAACTCTCTTATCTCTCCCAACACCATTAGTTCTTATTGATTTTATGATCCTAAAAGCAATTGTTTTGTCATGATTCCGACTGATGACACTAACCCACTTCTCGCTTTTAAAAAAATGATTTTGATGGCCACTCTAAAATTCTGTGCCACCACTTCTACTTTGATCATGACAAAGAGAATAAAAGTCTTCTTCTTATGCTCGAAAATCAAATTTAATTTTTGCTTTGATCTGATAAGATTATGATGTTATTATGGCGTTATAGTATGCGAAATAAACTTGTCAGTATTCTCATCTGAACAGATGAACTGTTTTATAAATGCTTTGTTTGTGATTGTAAAGGCGAGCCATTCATAAAATATTTCAAGTAGGGAAAGTTGTTTGGATTCCCTAAGAATTTTTACTAGTTGAGAATCAACGCTTATTATATAAATGTCATACAAAAATCTCATTACTAAAGTCTTATTTGAGGCAACTTTTTTATTATTTTCTAAAGAAGTTTTAAGGTAAAAAAATTGAATTAAAAATTTATCTACTATTGTTGTGTCCTGGAATATACACGGCGGTAGAGTAATATAAAGTTTTAACGTCTTAGCTTTGTACGAAGATCCACCACATAATCATATATGAGAGAGGGTGCGGTGCAGTATTTATAAGAGACACCAAGATTTTTAAGTGGAAAACCCTGAAAGGGGAAAAACTAAGGGGCCTAGCCTAGTTTTAATAAATCCACAGGTATTTGTAGTTGATAACAAATAAGGACCTTCATTGGAGGGAATGCCTTATCCTGATGTAAAAAATATACATCATATATAATGCATTACATGGTGGAAATTGGAAGTATCATTATTGATATGTAAATTTAGTCGGCATGACCATAGTCAGCGGGCGACGAAGGTCATAAAGACAGTATTCGGGTGAGGGCAGTCAGAAGGACCGTAGTCGGGCGGGCGACGGAGGTTGGAAGAACCATTGTCAGGTTGAAGTCTAGTGTAAGTCGGCGACCTAGTGGAAGCCCAACATCAGTCAACGATTGAGTGTAAGTCTAGTGTCAGTCGATAGCCTGGCAGAAGTCCGATGTCAATTGGTGGCTGGACAAAAATAGGGCGCCAGTTGATGGTCGGGCAAAAATTCGGTGTCTGTCGGTGGCTGAGCAGAAATCCAATATCAGTTGGTGGTCGAGCATAAATATGACATCAGTCGATGGCTGGGCAAAAATCTGCTATCAGTCGGTGGCTGGGCAGAAATTTGGTGTCTGTCCATAGCCGGGCCAAGTCCGGATCAAGGTAGTTGGTGGTCAGGCTGAAGTCTGACGGTGGTTGAGTTTGGTGACAAGAGAACTCTCTTCATTCTCTTTTTGCTTGGGTCCCTTTGCTTCCTCTCCCCTTCACGAGGAATGATGAGTCTATTTATAATTTTCTAAGAGTTGCATGACCAGTAACTTTAAGCATGTCACGTTTGGAAACTGTTTGATAATCCAAATTATGGTTTGAACCTTTCAAATGTTCTTTGGGTCTTTGATTCATATTCATTTGGGCTTGGATTGAGTTGAATTTGGTGTCGTTGGATTTGTATTTTTGAGATGTTTAGTTCAACTATAAGTTTGCTTAAATCGGAGTTCGGATGATCACAAATTTAATTTTTGAAGTTTCCAACTTAATTTTGCTTCGAAATTTGTGCCCAATCATGATAATTTTTTGATGATATATCAACTATAAAGTTACTTTAAAAAGCAATAAGAAAGCTGTCCCAAACAAAACCTAAAATATAGAGTTTTCTTACATTACTATTGTAATGTGCTTCATTGATTACAAATCAGATTTGAAATGGTGATGGCTGTGATAAGGAACCAATGCTCTAAAATAAGTAAGAAGCTTATTAATATATTTGAAGAATGACACATGCTTTACTATTTATAAAATTTTGTATAGTTTAAAATTTTATAAACTTCATTTATAGAATATATTATTAAAAATAATATACATATAGATGTGAATTGTGGAAAAAACGAAAAATAATTGATATGTAATTTAAGGGGGTGAAAATTGGATGATAATATTCTGCCAAAATTTAATGAATTTTAAAAACTTTTACTTTATTATTTTGAGATTAATATAATATAAAAAATAATTAATTATTTATATGAAAATTATGTGTACATTACTTAAAACATTAAAAGTTACATATTCAATAACTAAACTTCTTTATTTACACTCATGCATAGCAATTTACACACATGAAGGCATCGACTGGTCCAAGTGGTGTGCGGAGAAAGCAATGATGAGCTTAGTGAAGCTTGCATGCATGCAGAGGCATGGATAGGTCTAGGTGAATAATGTATCAATAGGCTAACGCATCAAGTCCATGCGGCAGATAGAGAAAGTATTAATAGGCTTGATGAAGTCAGTGGCAAATCGAATCCTTTTTTTAGGGTGAGAAAATTCGATATATATAAAAAAATAAATGCAAACAATATAGATATATTTCGCTAGCAAAATTCAAAGCAAAACATTATATTTCATCATAATTTTTGAAATTAAAAAGAAAATTACATACTTTGCATTTTTTTGATAATGTTGCATAATGATTTAATTTGGAAAAAAAATCAAAATACTTCTTTTTCAATATATGACACTAGAAAGTCATGGCATCACCCATTTTGCTACGAAGTCAATGCTTAATGATCTTCATTGCAAAAAATGCTCTCTCCACCGTAGCAATAGCAATTGGCTGGTAACGTCAGTGTCAAAACAATAAGTTTATAAACTAGAGATACACAACATTTTTTTATCCTTTACAATCTGTTTTGTTAGAGCATCAGTGCTAGCTAAATATGTAAACTCGTCGCTAGTACACATATTAACAATATAAGTAGATAGCTGATGCTCAAGAGACACAAGATCAATCATACAGAAATTTGTTGGATATAACTCTGCAAGACGAATTAATTTTCTCTTATCATAATTAAGCAGAAAACATATCACTCGGATTTAGACATCACACAAAGAAGTAACTTGGTGCTACTTTCTGAGAATCGATTATTCAGTTTCTGAAGTTGTATATCAATAATTGCATGGAATAAATCTGATCGATAATGATGAAAGTTTGTAATTTTTGCACATATTCGTATAGACTGTCAACGAGCCTTAAATTTAGAATATATATTTGGAACTTCAATTTCAAAAATATTACACAAACATGACACTTCTTCGAGTAAAGGCACCCATCCATTTTTCCTCATCATTTGCAATCGTTGCTTGGACATTTATATTAATTTCATTGCATTTAAAATATCTTGATCTTTTCTTTGTAATGCTTGTGATAATTCATTTGTAATTCCTAAAGTATCAATCATCAAATACAATGTCAAGATAAAGTCAAAAGATTTCATGGCATTTATTAAAACACCAGCTTCAACTGGCATTTTAATGCTATAGATATGTTTTGTCATATGTAATAAATTCAATAAGCGCTAAACAAAACACCAGACAAGCCACAACTAAAAGAATCAATGGGATACTCTATAAAACTAGTTAAAAAACTCAAAACAACCCTCATTCATGTTTAAAAAAAAAGTATTACAACAATTTACCTCGTAGTTTTTTTTTAGCTTCCTCAAAGGTACAAATCTTGCTCCAATCGAAAGAGTAATAGGAGGGCCAAACATAAACCCTCTAGCTTCAACACCTTACACTTGCCAACATCACTAGTGCATAATGATGGCAAGTATTCATGGAATAGTCTTCATGTGCATCTAAACAAAGGTTTTCCTAAGTTAGAAATATACATATTCTGATATTCAGTCATTTAATACCACAAATTTTGAAAGATCGAATGAGGAATGCGGCGAGTTACCTTGACGTCGTTGACGAAGAGGAAGAGCAGCAGAATCGGAGATTGATATGCGAACATCGAACTGACGAACTACGAAGAGCACGAAGAGCGGATCGAAGTGAGATATGCTTCAACCGTTCAAATCGACTAAAATGGGAAGAATCGAAGAAGAGGAGAGTACTGGATGTGCTGCGCCTGCGGTCTGCGAAGTGCGAACTGAAGAAGAGGAGACTGCAGAGACGAAGCTTGCGGAGACGAAACCTGCGGAGCAGCAGAGACAAATGGCGTGGGATTTTGTGAAATAGAGAGAGTCTTGAATAGCGAACCATTAGGAAAAAATTGTTTTTAGAGGGGGGGATACCGAAAATATCCCTCATATATCTTTTTTTTTAGGGTGGGCATTTGCGCACCATGACTATGCCATGGGTCCGCCCATGGATGAAGATATTTGATGAGTGTCTATTGAAAACTCTCAACTCCATTAATAAGATGCTAAATATTATAAATACTAAAATTTAAGTGTTTATATGTAAATTCTAACATTTAAGTGCAATGTATACAGACCCCTCTTATTTATATTAAATTTATTTTAAAATAAACCTAAAATTTAAATTCATCATAATTAAAATTTTAATCTTAATATGAAAGCGAATTCTTTTTGAAGATTCTAACACTTAATTTAAAGAGAAATTATTCTATGCGGATACCGGACGCAAAATGTCGTCTGGTGACCAATCAGAATGTCACATCAGTGGTACCGAGCCATTGTACCGAGCGATATCAAGCAGTACCAAGCCTTGATGCTGACCAAAGGAATGACATGACACATTCTGATTAATCTCTGACTAAAATTTAGCGCCCACATAGAATAATTAATCTAGTTTAATTTAAGGTTGTCGGGCCCCAGCCAATACCCATAAACGCGCAAAGATAAATGCATTCGGGAAAGGGAATCACATACCTATGGTTTGTGAGCCATTTTCATTTTCAAAATCGGGCCTTTTTCTCTCGAACAATTATTACGTCCTCCGACCGGACGCAGAGGAACGTCCGGTCGGAGGCCAAATCCCGCCAAAAAATGGTTGTACCAAGCAAATACCGAGCAATACCAAATAATAACGAGGAATACCATCATTTGAAGGCCCAATACCGAGTTATACCGAGCTAAATCGAGAAATACCGAGTTATACAAAAGTTGTACCGAGTTTTTCCTAGAAAAACTCGGTATTTCTCGGTACAGCTCGGTATAACTCAGTATTGGTCTTCAAAGAGCGGTATTTCTCGTTAATATCAAATAATACCTAGTTGTACCAAGAAAATAGCGAGTTTTTTGGCGGGATTTTGCCTCCAACCAGACGTTCCTCTATGTCCTTATACCGGACGTAATAAAAGTTCTTTTCTCTCTCTACTCTCTCTCCTCCGCTTCTTATCCCCAATTTTCACACGCATAGAGAGAGAGAGATATAGAGAGAGAGAGAGAGACAGAGAGAGATTGTGTGTTTTTGCAGCGATAATTTCGCCATAGACAAGGTAGTTGATCCCATCTTATTCAATTCTTGCTTAGAATTTGTTTTGGAATCAAAGGTTCACATCTCAAAACTTGCTTCGCTTTTGAGGGAAAGTGGCGGATTAGGTCAAACATACAGTTCAATTTTACTTTATTTAAATCTCTATTCTTTCTCCTATGCTTAGAAGGAAAATCAAAAGAAGGGGGAGAATAGGGAGAGAACCAGAATGTCGTGGAATCGCCGTCAACGCCTTGATGTTCTGGCGCTTTGCCTGCTATCGATCTGTCTCGTTCAATCCGACTCCGGCGACATCCGGCCACTGAATCACGGCCTATCCAACGAGACGGATCCCGGCGATCCATCCCCGGCAATGGCCGCGTTCTTCGGCGCCCGGCCGGCCGCGCCGCTTCCGGCTGAGCGGAATACAACTGATCCCGTCTGGGGAGTCGCCGGAAAGGTGTCGCCAGCGAAGCCCGATAGCGACAACCTGCGGCGTAGGACGCTCCTTTTAATTGCCGGAGTGGCCTGCGGAATTCTCGGTGTTGGCCTTCTCGTCTCCGCGGCGGCTTACACGGTCCGAACTCGCCGGACAGGCCATCCGGCGGGGCTGCGAACTGGGTTTGGGCTAGGATCGTGGGCTGGGCCGACTCAGTGGAAAAGCAAACGGGAGACTCGGTTGGGGCCCGCTTGAGTTAATACGAATAATGTTTTTTTTTATGATCTTCTTTGTTACATTTACATAGTTTGTTACTTGGTAAAGTTTCGATTACTTTTCTATTTGCTTTGCTTATTAAAGCTTTTAAAAAGAGAAAAATTGAATAAGGAATTTCAAATTAAATTAAGATTTTATTTGGGATAATATTTTTACTACTTTGTAAAACTATTTTTTAATAACAAAATTTATTAAAAATAATAATAAAATAGTGATTTAAACGTGTCCCAAATAAGGCCTAAGACTTATTTTGGGGCGACTTTCTTATTATTTTCTAAAAAAATTTTAATTAAAAAAAATATGTTATGCCTAAGTTTTAATAGTGATAAATTTAAAAAATATATATTTATAATAAATGAATCATATAAATAATCTTTACATTTAAAATAAAGGGGAATTTTGAGACTTTTGTTACCTTTCAAATTTTTCTTGAAGGTTTCGGCAGAAATGAACTTTCCACTTTAAATAAATTTAATTATAAAATTTTATATTAAGAGAGAATCTGCATAATACAAATATTAAGAAAAAATGCAATAATGTAATAAAATTATTAGATAATATAATTAAATAAAGAAAATAAAAATTATTATACTGTAAAATTAGACTTCTATAAATATACTGCTAGCAAATAGTATGATAAGATATTTATGAAAGAAATTGTCTATATATCGATTGAAAAATATAAGAAATACACCTTAATAATTAGACAATATAAGTATATTATTAATCATTCGCAAATATAAATATGATTCAAGAATATATGAGAACCATAAAAAATATTAAAATATTGACTTTAGATATATAAATACATTAAAAAATTATATTTTATGCATTTAAATTCCATTTTTTATCATTGATGGTCCTTTTTTGAATATGTGCTCCCACACAAAGTTTTCAACTAACTTACAAATTTGTTATAATAAGCACCTTGATTTTAAAAAATTATTCTGTGCGGACGCCGGACATCATCCGGAGTCAAATCAGAGCATGTCATATCACTTTTTTGTTGGGTACCACAACCGTGTACCGAGTAACATGACACGTTTTGGTTCTTCTCTGAACGGTTTGGTGTCTACATAGAATAATCTCCGGTTATTTTTAGGAGAGATTATTAGGTGAGGAGTGCAGAAGGGAAGAACCGTCCGCTCAAGTATTGGGTACCTAGCGGTACCCTCACTCGGTACCACTGGGTACTGCTGGGTACCCACAAGCGGTGCGGTACCCAGTGCTTGTGCAGATGGTAAGCACTCCGCACCTAATAATTTTTTTATTTTAGAGGTTCAGAGGAATGCTTTTTTAAAGGCAGAATGCTTTGCTAGTTTTTTTTTCAACGTGAGTAATTGAAAGCCGTTGAAATTAAGGTCTGAAAGTGAAGTTCATTAAAATGAAGTTTACTTTATAAGATTTCAATTCAAAAGCTCGTTTAGTCTGTTTGGCCAGCAATAACTTTCATATCCATCAACGCATTAAATTTATACGATTTTATTATTTCTTTAAAAAATAAAAAAAGGCATCCTAACCCACACCCTTTAATGGAAAAACTATTCATTACTATTTTATGCAAAACACAGTGAAGGGGGCACATGAAAATTCATGAAAATAAAATTGGTTGGGATATTTGGCTATCAACTAAGGATTTGTTTGTGAAGACTTTTTTATTATTTTTTAAAACAAAATTTTAGTATAAATATTTTAATTTTTATATAAAAACTATTTTAAAAAGTAGTAAAAAAGTCATCCCATGATTTTTTTGCTACTTCTTAAAGCAGCTTTTTAGTACTAAATTTTTAATTTTTATACTAGAAAACAGCTTTAAAAAGTAATAAGAAAGCCGTCCCAAACAAAGCCTAAGACTTTGTTAAGCCTAAGATTTTGTTTGGGATGACTTTATTATTGCTTCTTAAAGCAGTTTTTTAATACAATTTAAATTTTTGTACTAGAAAACTTCTTTAAAAAATCTATCCTAAATAAAGCCTAAAAGAACTTGAGTTTGAAACTTAGTTTTGTGATGTGTGTGTGAAATTTATCTTAATTGACTCAAAAATCTCGAAAGAAAACCTCACTATTCCACTTCATCAAGGTCAGTTTAAAAACTAAACATAGATACATTTATTACTAGGCCACTGCTTTTTTCATTTAAAGAAGTTTTTGTATTAAAAAAAATGTTTTACTATTAAAAAAAATGTTTTAAAAAAAGTAAGAAAGCAATCACAAACAAAACCTAAATATACATTAAAATTTATAATTCTAATTGTTGTCTGATGTTATCTGTTTATCAAAATAATATCTGATTAATATCAAATATTCATTAATAATCATATTCAAGAAAATTCATATAACTTCAAAGCAAATTCAAGGGCAACATGGGACTAGCAGATACAGCTGTTTGCATGCATAAGGTGAAGATAAATCTGTGGTATAAGAAATATATATATATACAATGGGGAATAGGGGTATCTATCCACTGCCACTCCAAAGGGAGTGTTTGGCGACATAATTTATCCCTTGGCGGAACCTAGCGAGGCCATCCACCGACATTGGGCCCACACTTGCTTTGCCCAAGTGAAGATGCGAGGCAGTAGTAGAGGGAATTCGAACCCGAAATGAGGGATTCCCAATGGTGCTCGCCCGCCAACCACCCTAAGCCTTGGTGGGTGTATCAGAAACAATTATTTGATAAAATTTAATATAAATAAATAATTTATATCATAATTATTCGATAAATTTTATATTGATTATCAATCATTCATTTTTTTCATTCAGGACTTAAGACTAGACAATGAAAAAAATCAAAATTATTCTGGTTAAAAATTTATAGCAAAAACAAACTTTTTTATTGAACTATGAACCTCACACAAAATGTATGGTGCAACAAAGAAATTATAAGCACCAAATAAAAGATAAAGATATGTGACAAGTAACAACCACTAATGCCATGTCTGTCTCACTCTCACCAGCTATAATGACATGAGGTCTACTACTATGCTGTTAGTGCCTGGCTATAATTAAGCCTGAACCTAATTGCAATTAAATTGAATATCAATTTAAATTGGATTGAGAATGATTAAGACTTCGTTTGAAATATTTTTATTATTATTTTATGACGCAATTTTTTCTATAAAATCTTTTGGTTTAAAAAAAAAACTAAAAATTATTTTAAAAAGCGGTCTGAAAGAATTTTTTTATTACTTTACAACAACAATAATATCAAGCATTTATCCCACCACCTGAGGTCAAATAGCTTTAAAAAAAGTGCTGGAATATATTCATTAAAAAATCATTAAAATAAGCTTTAAAATTTTTTGATCCACCTTTAAATAAATGTAATATATAAATAAATTGTATTGCATTCATTTCAAAACAGAGCGAAAAACTTTGAAGCTGAATATAATAAAAGATTTGATTAGAATATCCTGTTCAATTTTTTTTTTTCATAGCTTTTATCTCCACAGTTAACTTTTGAATACACCCTTCTGCACGAAGATACAATCTACCAAACCCTAAAACCTCGACTGAATTCTACAAGTACCATGATTTTTATAATATACTTATCACTATATCCTTGGTCATATCCCAGCTATCTATACAAACCTTTGTTCTCATTCATCTGCTCAGGAGAAATTATTTTGTGCGGAGACCGGATGGCGAAAACCGTCTGAATTTGCTGTCTTTTTGCAAATACTTAGTAAAAAGGACAATAAATATATATTCATAATTATATTTTTTTGCTGCCATTTTAATGAGTATTTGTAAAAGCATAACAAAATGATAGCAAATATTCAATTAGTATGATATTTGTTGCGTTTTAGCTGCATTTTGTTGCGCTTTAGCAAATACTTAGCAAAAGTGTAATTATGAATGCATATTTGCTACTATTTTAATGAGTATTTGCAAAAGTGCAATAAAAGGACAGCTAAAACACAATAAATCTGGATGGTTCTCTCCGTCCGGTTTCCGCACAGAATAATTTCTCCCTGCTCAGCGCCAAAAAAACTAACAAATACCTACGGGTGTGTTTGTTTGCAAGATTTAAGCAGGATTGCATGAAATTATTCCTTAAATTCAGCTTGCAAAATATAGAAAGCTCTAATTAGACAATAATCCCATGATAACAAGAAAAATGTATTCCATAACTGGAATCCCTGCAGATTTCTAGTGATGGTTCCCAAAGAACAATTTTCTTTCTGTAAAGCTGAATCAGTTATAACATTTATGTTAGGTTTGATGCTTAATAAAAGAAGGAGATGCCTGCTGGAACCATGACTACTTATGTAAAAAAAAAATTATACACACCTGAGAATTTCACGGGACATGAATGTTGGCTATTACAATCGTTCACCGTCAAGCCAGGTAAGAGTAGGAAGCACCTTCTTCAACAGATCTCTAAATTCCTCATCAGCAACTGCATTGCCCTTGACATCTAACTGCTTAAGATGCAAGTCGCTAAACAGAAATATGGCTTCCCAATTATCGGCCACATTAATATTTGCCTGGCGGCACTCCTCAATGCATTTTTTATCCTTTACAATCGAGTGAGTCAATGGAGACGAGAAAAGATATCTTGTTGTATCCACAGGGTGGGAACCAATCTTATTGAAGGATATGTCCAGGACTCTCAAGTAACTAAGAAGTTTTAGTGGCTCTAATGCTGTGATGCTACTGATCTGGTTGTTTTGCAGATTCAAGTTAGTAAGAAGTTGCAGTGCTTCTATACCTGCCAGTTGCCGCAGGATTGTCAAGTTAGATTCGACATGAAGGTTTCGTTTGGGACGGCTTTCTTTCTGCTTCTTAAAAGAAGTAGAGAGAAAGCCGTCCCAAACAAAGCAGAAATGTAATTTTCTGGCTTTTGACTTGACAGAAAGTTTCTGTCGAAAAAAAGTGAAGAGCATGATGAATGTAGACCTGATAAGAACGAAAAGTAGCAACCTCACCTGCAATGGACCTAAGCTTATTGTGACTAAGATCTAATGTTTGAACCCATAACAACCGCTCCACATACCCAATCCGAGTCAATGATAAACTTTTAAGTTGCAAGCAACCATGGAGATGAAGCTTTGATGAAATATAGTTACTGGAGTGGGAAAGATGACTTGAAAGAGATTTGTCATCAAAAGTGACCTGCATAAATTTTAAATTTGCAATATATGTAAGCCTAATCTTAAGAAATAAGAACAATTCTCTTAGCATGCCCATCACAAAGAATAACTCCCAAAGAAACCAAATGAACCAATAAGATTAAAATCCTAGATCTAAGAAGGAAAAGCAGGGAAGACAAAGAGAGAGGAGATGAATAGAAAACATTTGTGTTAATGGGAGTGGTATTTTTTAAGTGTTTTATAGAATTGAGTGACAGGTTAGTTAAATGAATATTAGGTTTTGGATTTTAAATTAATAAAAATTTAACGGCCGTTTATGTAAATCCTAGTGAAAGACATGTCAAACTAATACTTAAAAAAAAAAAAGCAATATGATGTGTCTGTTCAAGTAAATGTAATAAAATTATCATTTTCTTAGCTGATTATTATTTCTTTTATCTATAAATATGATAATTTTGACTCATGCAACATATTATCTCTTAAGAATAAATTTTTCAAAGTGGATGGGAAGACAACTTCATCTACCCTGAGATTTTCAATGTTAATTTGGTGTGGACCAGAAAGCCCTTGCAAGAGAAATAATTTCCTTGTTTAAATGCAATGCTTGCTTATCAAATCATTTTCCTTAATTCTCTCTCTCTCTCTCTCTCTCTCTCTCTCTCTCTCTCTCTCTCTCTCTCTCTCTCTCTCTCTCTCTTTATATATATATATATATATATACAAAATTTCCCCCTACATCAAATTGATATTAAAGCCAGCCCACCTTCTTTAACAAAGAATTCATGTTCAACTCAAAGGATTTAAATCCTCTTTAAAGCAACAACAAAGTCATAAAGTCACTTGTTTACTATATTTTAGGTAAAATATCTCAATAAAAATTTGGACTCAAATTGTGCCATAGGCAAATTTTGTGTCATGCATAAGTCAAAGTTTTAAGACTTGGTTAGAAAATATTAGAAATGATCTTTCTTTATTAGATTTAGATGAGAATTTGACCCTTAACATGACACAAAGGAGAAAAATGATTCATGTAGCCGACCCCACAGTGGGATAAGGGCTTGTTGTTATTGTTGTTGCATAAGCCAAAGTTTTAAGGGTTTCCACTAAAACAAGATGAAATCTCATTTATCATGCTTTGACTTGTACTTATTTTCTTAAAATAATTAAAGCATTTCCAAGAGTTAAATGTCTTCCAACCGCATGATATAATTACGATTCACATGATATAACTAGGTTCTAATTGCCTTTGATGTAATCATGACACTCCCATTAATTCATTTGATAGTTGATAACAAGTTGAATTGTTTATGCAAGTACATTCTATTATTGTCAATAAAATAACTTGACCTAACACTTCATATAGGTTGCAAATTTGCAAGTCATATCATCTAGCATATCTAGATCCTATTTTCATTACATCTAGTTAGAATCATGATATCATCATAACCAAGAGCACAACTAATGACACCATTAGTTATGATTTTATTGGAAATATTCAAATACATCAAGAATTATTAAATCCCTTGAAAGGCATAGCAAACATATAAATTGTCATTTCTCACATTTTGATAATATCTGCATGCACACATTAGTAACACACACAATATGAGAAGAAGCCAAAATAGTCCCCCGCATATTAGTAAGAGCCCATTTTAGTCTTTGAGTTTCGTATTACTCCAATTTAGCCCCTCAACTATTGAAAATTGACCCAATTTGGTCCCTCAATTAAACAATCTATCAAATTTGACCGAATATTCTACAAATCTCCCATTTTCATAATGTGAGAGTGGCGTTTTAGTACAAATATTAATTTTTTTTACAATCTCTTAGGTCATCCCATTCCAAAATCATCATTTACAAGTGTGAAATCAAGCGAAGAAGAATTGCGGAGTTTCAACAGAGAGCGGCAAGTCATTGAAGTGGCATGCTGCAAAAATCGACGAGTAGCATGTGGTGATCTTTGATGTAGTAAGGTGTGCAAGCAGGATTTTGGGTGTGCTTAACAAACAATATTCTTTTACTAATTTTTACCCTTAATATTTAAGTATGTTAGCTTTCATTTTGATTTTTTTATTTATTAGAATTTATTAAATGGCAAAATAGATCAATGCTAGCAATGTAATCTCATCCACACTTACACTACCTAAAATGCTCTCTCTCTCTCTCTCTAAAGGGTATTTCCTTTCTCTGGCCATGAGCTAAAGGGTATTTCAAGGTTCCAACAAAGATGCATTATATTATGTCCATGATCTCAAATTAGTAATTCAGTCACAACGTGCGTATTAACTAATATTAAGATGTTGGCTAACATCTAAATCTATATAGGCTTTAATAAAATTGTTGCTATGGAATTCAACATGCCATGTACATAACTTAGACAAAACAATAGGACGCCACAAAACACTTCTTAGCATGCAATAACTACAAATATAATTACATCTAATTGGTAATAATTTGAAATGTATGCCACTATATTTTCTTTTGTAAACAGAAGAAGGTACACACAATTGTTATGACAGTATAATGATGCAAAAGCCACCATACATTATAATAGTTTGAAATCGGTAGAAAAATCTAAAGATAGCAGGGAAATTGGGAGATAAGCCAAGAGGCAAACAATTGTGCTGCAGTCATATTGCGCTGCTTCCAATACAACAATAGAGGTCTTCTTAAAATATTCCACTGACAGCAATTTTATATTGGTTTTTTTCGTAAGTTCACAAAAGCTTATTTATCTCAACAGTTTGCAAAAAGAACCCGTCTACTAAACAGGCATAGCACTATACAAGTATAGTTCAACAAAAGGCACGCTAATAAAAATTGGATGCATATGAAATAATCATAAAGTTGAAAATTTTACCTGGTTCATAATAACTAAGCTTCTTTCATCCTCATAGTATCCAGCATGCCTTGGATCCAACTTTACCAAATCATCATAAAGTTCTAAGACATCTCTCAAATGGATTAACCTTACTGTGGGAATTGTGTGTGACAGCATTGCATCTTGAGCAATTAACAGTCGTGCTAATGTAAGCTTGACAAATATACTATAATTAAGAGAAAAAAATGGTTACTAAGAGATAATACTGACAAAAGAGAAACAATCAATGTGAACTTTGGCAACAAATCAACCAGCAATGGATAATAGAGAATCCTAACCAATTTTCTTCAGATAACTCTTTAAAAAGATTTATCTCATTAGATATTGTATCCAACTGCCATTTAGAAAATGCAGACGCATGATCTTCAGATAACTTTAGTTGATCAAATGAAACCAAATCGTTACTTTCCAAAGTAGAACTCCCACCATCATCCCAGACAAACAACTCATCAAGTGATTCTCCTCTAGTATGCTCCAAACTGTCAGAGTTGAAGGTCAAAGTAAATCTGAAATGCGAAGGATGGTTGAATTCAGAACCGCTAGATGACAAGATATCCTTGGAATGACCAAGTTTGACCTCAACTCTATAAACTTTTGTATCACTAAGCTGCAAATCTGGAATTTGTAGGTAAGTAACCCAACAAGCAGCTTCTTTAGATTTGGTGGGTAGCAGTGGCCTCCAAACAAGATCTTCATTCTTGACAAACATAGAATTCACAGTCACGCTTGATGAATTTACACCTTTCACTCTTTGGTTAAAGTATAGAACAACGGGTAATTTCCCAGAGCTCATGAAATTGTAGCTGGATCGAAAGGGTTCTGACGATTTGCAATATGCTGCATTTCCATTAATTGTTAGGACACAGTCTGAATCATGAGAAGGCCAGGAAGATATCAGTAAAACTTCATTTGGAGTGATAGTCTGATCGAGAAGCCAAAGGTGATAGAACCATCCACTTTGATCACTTGGGTCAGTGAAAAGAGCTTGACTTACAAGCTCATATTCCTCAGTCAGTATCTTTTCCCTTTCAGCAAATCCCTCAGCCTTCATGCTCAGCAAGCGGGATAAAACTCCACTACATTAATAAGAAGTTAGTTATTGTTGTATATATGGAAAAACGTCAATGCATAAGTAGCTATTTTACACAGCGAAATCAACTATTATAATTAATTTAAAAGACCAATCACAATGTCATTTGAAGTATGAATAATGTTTTTTTCTTATGAATTTGTTAAAGTAATCCAATGTTTAATTAGAAACAAACAAGAATCAAAGATGTCATTAAAAAAAAAGAGAGAACAGGTAGCAACGGGACCAGTTAAAAGCACATCTGAAACATACATTAACGATTTGCATACAAAAGCAATAATCATTATACCTGTGCACTGTGCTCATCAGTTTAAAGCTCATATTACTTTCACGCTAATTCGTATGATGCACCATAACTTAAACATAAGCCAGACCACAATGCCAAAACATGAAGTAATTCATGTTCTTCAATAATTTTGTAACGCCAAAGTTCCCATGGTGGAAAATCTGTTCGTGCCAAATGCTATGCATCATACAAAGAAAAGCAATAAATATTGAAGAACGGTTAAAGACTCTCCATAGCTTGTTTGTGCTCGTACTGTTTCATCCAGACGATTGCTTTAAGCTTCAAAAAGAGTACAACTTTTTCTCATGTGGTTTAAACATGTACAACATAAGTAAAAGATCCATCAATAAGATGAGTGGCAAAAAATAATGCTAAAAAATTCAGAAGTAAGAAGAGTAGACCAAAGGTAACATTGATAAACGTTGAGAAAAGATATTTGCACAAAATAAATTTAACAATCAACAAATACTAAACTGAAACAAGAACGAGAGTTCAAAATGAGTGGCTTGACCCAAATAGTTTGTTTGGACAAAGCTTGTGCATGCAAGATATTAAAATGAGGGAGTTAAGGATCGATCTCATGGCCTTCTCAACATTAACATATCACACACAATCAATCAAATAAAAAGAGAGTAGAGAGTCTAGAGACACAATTTTTTAACATGGAATAGCCTTGGAGGGGAGATATCATGAATCTAGTTCAATTGAACAACGTCTACTATTTGTAGAAAATGTATACAAGGTGGTCCACCTCCCTATCCATCCATAAATTTGCCTATGTATCTATATCTACTTCATTCTCAGTGTGGACCCTGATGTTGTAAAAAAAACCAGATTTCTCCATCTCAATGCAAACTAGAAGACAGCCAGCAATTAATGGAATATCATTGTTAGTTTATCAACTCTATATCTATCCCAATATGCATCTCAATGCACTGCAACAAGCAGGCAATGGAATCCCTTTAACTTTCTCACCGCTGTCTATATGCATAATCTAAGAATCAACCGCTCAATGAAGTAGGAGCAAGAAATTTCTCTCAATCTCTCTCTATCTTCAACGCAACTAGTAGACACTAGAATCTACCTATTATTTATTGCTGTATCCTAAGTTCTAGAAGGCCAAATAGGATAACACTTAGGAAAAAACAAAACACTTTCTTCAATAAAACATAAACCACCTCAGACAGAAAGAAACTTGATAGGAAACAGTTATAAGAAAATTAGAAAACAATAAGGAAACTTTGCAATAAACAAACTAAAACATAAACTTCCATCAGAACAACCTAAAAAGTTCACCTCACATGCAAATCTGAAAATTGGAGATTGGCGCTAAAAAAAAATCAAACCGGAGGTTCACCACAACAATCTTGTTCCAACACAGGTCGACACTCCTCCGGCAAATACCAACAAACCGGCTCAACAACACACCACACTCTTTATATTAGGAGAAGAAGGATACAAGTGGAAGGAAAACCGTGGAGAGTTGAAATAGATAGAAGACCGGAAGAAGAAATAGGTGCACGAAAAGAAAGCTCTCAAGCTTATGAAGAAAACCATCAGGTTTCAATCAGATTTCATCTAAAAAAACCTCCTTCCCTGTAGCAAAGAACCCCACATATAGAAGGAAAAAGGACCTAACAGCCCCATAAATGAGCCACCCCAAATAGCCAATAGGAGCCAACACAAAACATGGAAACAGTACAAAGGAAGGGGAATGGATAGCTGCAGGAATTCGAAACAGCAAAAATAAACTGCCAGCTGCATGGGAAATAGCAGGAATTCTAACCGGCAAAAGACAAACCGTAATAAGCATGGAACACCAAGCAACCAAGAGGAAGGGAATGAAATGAGCCAAGCCCATTAAGGAAATTTCAGCCCTCCACTAAGCCAATAAAGAAACAAGAGAACAAGGTCAATAAAGGAAAACAAAGGAGAGAAATTACCACAGAGCACCAAACCCAAGCATGATCACAGGTTGTTTTCCATCATAGGGCACATAAAAACATAGACAAAAAATTACATAAAGTCCAAAACATAAATAAAATACAAAATATAAAACGATAATCCTTGACTGCATCATTTACGGTTGATTCATGCATCCACTTATCAATCCATCAACATCAATCAAAGGTTTATTTTAATTTTGCATTCCTCTTAACATATATTGATCAAAGTGTTCATGTATTTATCAAGTTTCAATGGATAACTTAGTTTCATTACTCTTCATATTACGAAAGCCTTGAAGACTTGAGCATGTCAACATATATGACTATTCATTTTGTGGCAGATACGATAACATGCACAATAAATATCTCAAAATAACGCGTTAAAATAGTTTCACGAATATGCACTAAAAATGCACAAAAATAAATCTATTTAAAAAACACAACCAGAATAATGAGAATGCCAATGATGTAAATACCTCCGACTGTGCCAGGCCGAATAATTACTAAAATTGGTGTTAATCATATCCATAGTGAACTTCAACTCTTCCACCTCAGGCAAACCCTTCAGCTTGGCAACAAACCTAAAGTGCCAAAGCATGAACTATAAAGCCTAAGCAAGCACTTATAATCTAATGAAACAAATAAAGCATGACTGATGCATCACCTACGGTAATTCCAACCATGGAAATTGCGGGAATCAGCTTTTAGCAATTGGTCCAGGAGCCGAAATTCCCTGTCAAAATCTACTTCGGCAAGCCCTTGACTTAAAACCCATTTCCGGTGGTACCATGCCCCATAAGATTTAGGGTTCGCTCTCAATGCTATCTCTACCTTAAGAATTTGAGATTTAGAACCCGACATCAGATCTACCCACTAAATAAATATTAACAATTCTCAATTCACTTCCAAAAAAAGGATAAAACTCACGGCTCTGAGCTCATCGTCCACCAGAGATTTGATACGCTCTGAATCTGTCGCTTCCTTTAAGTTCTGCTGTAGAGCGAGCTTCCGGTAGTTCCAGACAGTTAATATTTCTGGATTAATTTCCAGTAGCTTCGAGCTGGCGGCGATCGCCTCCTTGGTATACCTATCAAAAACCACAGGATTAAATGCATAACCATTGGATGCTGGAGAGAAAGGGAGAGAATGTAGAGAGAGAGAGAGAGAGAGAGAGAGAGAGAGAGAGAGAGATAAGAAGAAGCCTTACAGGCGGTGGTGATGGCTGTGAAGAAGTTGGGATTGAAGGTCGCGGAGGTTGGAGGCCTTAGCCGCTGCGGCGGCGGCATCCTTCACGCGCAGCGGTTTACGTGGTTGACCGTGCATCTCTTTCTCCTCGCCGTCGCACGGGAGCGGATCGGATCAAATCGGATTGGCAGAGATTTTCCAGGCGATGAAATGAGAATACAGAGTGACCCCGTGAGGTCTGCCCTTCGTCCGAACAATTATTAGCTAAGGTGACCGTAGGTAGCTCTATTACTGGATATCGTGCGGCCGCACTATGTGATCCTGGATTGTTATTTCCGGCATATTGCTCGGTATTCCTCTAATACCGTATTGATCCGTATTGTTAGATATTGTTCGGTATTGCTTGACAATAATGAAAAATATCACTCTATGAAGATCAATACCAAGTAATACCGAGTTGTTCGATTATTGCTCAGTATTGCTCGGTATTGGTCTTCACATAAAGGTATTTCTTATTATTGCCGAGCAAAATCGACCAATACCGAACAAATACCGAGCAACACGTGAACATAGCAATCCCGTCTCCGTTCTGGGTCGTGGTTGTCGGGCCGCGCGGTAAATAGTGAGAACATGTGGCACTATTTTAGTGGCGTCCGAACGTAGAGCTACGTCACGTGACCGGACCAAATAAAAGTTCCCTTCGTCCTCGTCGGTGACATCTTGTAAACGGAGTTTAAAATTAATTATATATATATATATATATATATATATATATTTTTTTTGCTAAATATTTTTTTATTTTAAATAATTTAATATTAGTAATATTTTTTTGTGTTTTAATGATTTAAATATTCTATCAATATATTAAATAATTCAACAAGTTTAACATTGACTTTCAACTGTCCAACAAAACCCTCTATTTTTTTTACCTAAAACTTATCTATAAAATATTTGAGTATGAAATATTTAAGTATATATTTTAGGTATGTGCATTGTCCTTTATGATTTAAAATTTCAAATCAAAATCCATTAGACATTATGACCAAATTATTTGATGTATTTGCTATTATGTTTATGGATATGCTAATATACATTCATGCAATAATGTTTTTTTAATACAATTTTTTTTTAGTTGATATAATTTTGTGCAACATATATATTTATATTTTAGTAAGAGAAAATCATATTAGCATTATCATATTAACAATATTATGTATATTGTTGTGTTTTGTTAATACGGTGGAATATCTTTCTAAAAGAAAAAAAATAGAAGTACATGGATATACACATCACCCAAATCCAGCAAACTCAAGTTTCATTTAAGACAGCTTTTTTACCGCTTCTTAAAGCAACTTTCTAGTAAAAAAAGAAAAAATAATTTACTAAAAACTTATTTTGAGAAGCAATAAAAAAGCCGTTCCAAACAAAACCTCAGCCTGAAAGCTAAAGCTAAACAACTGAGGCAAAATAGTCAATTCTTAATATGTATAAAGATTTTTTATTCCAAGGAATTCCATTATTATTATCTTGAGAAATGATTACTAATCATATGGTTTGCAAAGACAAACTATGCTGCGTGTACTTCTAAGTTACCACGCCTATTACTACAAAGTCATGAAAATATTGCTGAACACCAGCTCTAATTCCCTAAGAAGAACACACTGAATAGTAGATTCCTAGTATATAGAGATATATATATATATATCTAAAGACTGATACAGATCTCTAAGAAATAGTTGGAGCAAACACTGTACATGGTTCCTTATTTTGTTTATTTGGCGTCACAGCCCTTGCTGCTTTATGCTGCAACTATCATAAGCTGAGACTAGCTTGAAGCTGGGTTTTGAGAGGCTGGAGCATTGCAGAGCTGAGAGTTGTCATGAGATGAAGCTTCAAGATCTTGATCATCTTTGCCCTTCGAATTAAGAAATCTACCGCCATTTCCCCTGGCTCTTCTCATGGCATGTAAATGGCGGGATTCGTGAATATATGGCTGCAGAAATTTGCAAAGCAGAATGATTGTGAAGTCGTCAACAAATAACATGCAAGAACATGAAGCAGCAAATCAGATTAATCCTTAGACATCAAAAACAGATGGGAATTTGAGGAGGCGGCTCCAATGCAATATAAAGCACTTAAGCAGTGCATGTGTATACCATCGTTCCAGGGAAAAACTATTCTGTGCGGACGCCGAACGCCGTTCGGAGACTAATTAGAATGCGACATTTTATCCCTTCGTTGTGTATCGCGGCTAGGTACCGCTAACGTGGCTTCACCTGATTTGCCTCTGGACGTAGAGCTGTGTCCAGCCTCCGCACAGAATAATTCCTCCATTCCAGGGACATGGAGGAGTTCAAGTACACGATGAGATTTTAAATTATACAACAGCACTTACGCGGTCCATGTGTATCCCATCATTTCAGGATAAATTTATTCTGTGCGGACGCCGAATGCCATTCAAAGACCAATTAGAATGCGACATGTTATCCCTTTGTTGTGTATCGCGGCTAGGTACCGTTAACGTGGCTACACCTGATTTGCCTCTGGACGTAGAGCTGCGTCCGGCCTCCGCACAGAATAATTCCTCCATTCCAGGGACATGGAGGAGTTCAAGCACACGATGAGATTTTAAATTATACAACAGAACATGTTTGGTGCAATCCACATTATATGGAGCCAGCTGGAAACTAAAGACTTAACAGATGATTTACTGCATATTTTTAATAAAGTGCAGTGAACAGTAGGCAATGAACACAGCACATATTAACATTGACAATATTCATTCGATATAAAAAAAAATTGTAAGTGCTAAAAAAATGTCTTCAAAACCCTGTATAGGCAATATGCCATGAAAGCGATTAACTGATATATACAGTAAGCACGTGGCTTGTGTTTTGATTTATTCCAAGTATGTTGACTTCTAATACAACGGACTTGTCAGTCCTTGACTTTGTGTTTCATTAATTGTTTTCACTCTCTTAAAAAATAAATAAATAAAATAAATAAATTCCTTCCCACCCTTCGGCAGGAGAAATTATTCTGTGCGGACACCAAACAGTCCAGAGACTAACCAGAACACACCACATCACCCAGTACCGAGCATTGATACTGAGCAAAAAAAAAAATGACGTTGCGCATTCTGATTGGTTGATATCCTCACAATATAATTTTCCTCCGGCGGGTCACTTGACTGAACCAAAAAGGTGGATGTCAATGCAAAACGTAAAAACAAGCAACAGAAAACATAAGTCGTGAGGAAAGTTTTAAAAATAAAAAAATCTATGGAGCATATGCAATGTTATCCAAATTGTAGGACTAAATTGCAAGATGACCTTAGCTATTTTTAGGCCATATTGAGTCCTGAATTGTATTCACCTTCCCAACCAGGGTTTAGGGGAAAAGAATCAAATGACTTAGGCTTCATTTGGGACGACTTTCTTTTTGCTTCTTAAAGCAGCTTCCTAGTATAAAAAAATTAACTTTTGTATAAAAAACTGCTTTAAGAAGCAACAAAAAATAATGCCCAAACGAAATCTTAATCAGGAGTGGGACAAGAACAGCATTAACAAAAAAGCACACAGGACACAACCTGAAAAAAAAAACGATTGAGTACCTTTCGAGATTTGATCAATTTATTTTCCGATTCAGCTTTTGCACGGGATTGGCGGCGTCTCAGAATGCCATGATATTGTTTGGCATTCACATAAACCGGTTCTTCAACAGTATCAGTAGGCAAGGGCACCCCAGGCTGCATGATTCCCGTCATGGTTGGATGCATCTGGAATCCAATTAACTCAGTTAAAGTAAGACAAATTAAGGACTGTCCTAAGCTAGCTTAGGTTAAGATCATCAATCATTATAATTACGTTGAATACACAAAAAAACTATACCAAATGTTGACCACTGTATGCAGCAATGATGCCACCGTAGTAAGGATCAACATACGGGTAGGCCACTGGTGCCTGCCAAGATTATCGAAAGTCCATGATCAACCTTAAAGCACAAATGTGTTTCAACTGCTAGCTGCATACCACTCGTCAGAATCACCATTCATTATCCAACAGTTACAGGTTGTTCAAAAAGGAACTTTCATTACTACTTTACCATGTTAAGAAAATATGAAAACATTCTATTAAGAATTAAAAGAAAATTGCTGAGTTTAATAGAGTTTATGATATGGTGATCGCTATTAACATACTTCAACAACAACAACATCAAACTTCTGTCCCACTACGTGGGGGTGATCGCTATTGACATAATGATAAGAAAATTACGAATGTAATAAGTGCTTATGGTCCTCAAGATTAGAGAATAATGTAAGAAAATAAAGTTTGAAAAGAAATGGATAAATTACGGCACCGCGTACCGGCTTAAAAAATGGTAGTTACTGGTACGCTAAAGAAATGGTAGTTACTAAAGTGATTTAAGTTGGCATATAAGTCCTAGTAGAATGAACTAAAGATTGAAATCATGTTAGTTGTAGAAAAAATGAGATAGAAATGCAATAAGAATAATTATACTTAATTTCATGATAGCCTATGATCTTGCAATGCTGAACACATACTCTAATGCATAAGAACACTTAGTTACTTACAAAAATGGAGTCAACAAATCATAAATATAGACGCATACACATTTATTTATTTTGAGCCAATAAGAGATGAACATGATCAAACAAGATCGTTTATATTTGACTTGTTAAGAAAACGAATTCTAAATAACTATTTAATATTAACTGACCTACTTAAATGAACAAATCGAATATGAGTTTCTTAGCGAGTTGGGTATGAATTGTTTGTGAATAATGAGCTTCTATAACAGCCCTCCCGAAAACTATTAGACTTATACTAATTATCACTCATTGTGTCAAAGTAGGTCATCAAAGTGATTGTTAGTGGGGCGTGGGAGAGATATATTTACAGATTAAACAAATAGTTTGAAGCTTGCCGCATATTTTTTTTCACCGCATTTTTTTTATCAGTATTTATCATAGGATTTGGGACATAAAAGTTAATAGAGAAGCATTTTAGGACATAAAAGATTTGGGACTTTGTTTGCCATGGGATTAAATAAGAATTATTTGGAATGACATATAGTAAAAAATAAATTAATGGTGTCTACGTAAGTGCTTTCATTTAAATTGATATAATAATGTTAAAAAGCAATGGAAAAAGAAGAATAGCTAGCTGATTTTGGCATAAAAAAAAAAACAGAAAGAAAACTATTTTGTTGGTGATTGTAATGAAGGTAATCCTATTCTAATAAGCTAGGAGATGAAGGAGAAATCAGCAAAGCACGTATGATTGGTGGGAATCAATCCTGAGCAAGCGTGGTGAAGGGGGGGCGTTTATCTAAGATATTGACGAACAAATTGTTGATGGAGGTGGAGTAATTGATCAGAAGCTTCAAAGAGGTGCTGCCATTTAATAGAATGAACTATGTGTTGCACAAAGGTTCGCTACTTCGCTCTGATTAGCAAGTTATTTTGTTTAACCATCTCTGTAAGTTAAGAGGTTTGCTCTGCTTAATAAGTAGTTTGTTCAACCATCTCCATTGTGTTCCTAATGAAAGTCCGCCGTCTTCATTTCTTTTTCTGGCCAAACGGAGCTTTTTATCAGGTTTCAATGCCAAAAGGATTTGGAGAAAGTCCTACTAGGTGGTGGTCCTGAGGGAATTTGTGACCAAGACCCAACTACCGTTAGTAAATATTTTCTTTGCCACTTGAGATTCAACCTGCCACCACTGTTTGGCAGTGGAGCTTGGTCTTACAGATTGGGAGTGGCGTAAATCATAATTCAGATAGATCAGCATGCAAAGAAAGTCTCATGCGGGGTCTTTGTTCGTGTTTGTGTAAAGATAGCCACTGAGCTGCATTTATAGTGGTTGCCTCAATTATTAAGTTACCGCAAGAATTTGCCTATGAACACGCGTGGTAGTATATTTTTATGTGAGGGTTGATTACATCATACATGATTGTAACTTGTCAGATGGTTGTCAAAGGGAAATGAAGAAAGATTCAAACCCATGAATATAAGTTTAAAGGATGGAAGGCTCAAAACAAACAATTATGCAAACCACAAACATTATACATATTGGTTTTCAATGGCTGCAACAGACTAAATCCTTGGAAGACTTGAGATAAGGCTATGCCAAGGTAAAGTAAGAATATAGGAATAAGTGGTATTGGTTAAACTGAGAATGTACGAGAAGAGGTCAGCTCAAAGCCTCGAGCTGGAAAGCAAGCATAACTAACTACACAAAAGTAAGATTACCATAGGAAGTTGATTCAACTTCCCTCGCTCATAAGCATTAGCAAATTCCCACACTGATATTCAATGGCATTCACAGGTGGAACAAGCATGAAACATGGCAAGTCGGTGCAAGGAAAATAGAAATGCAAAAAAAACGACAAATGCACGAAACATGGCAGTTTAACCCAAAGGATTCCTAGAGATGAGGATAGGGAATAAAATGTTGATGAGGAAGATCCGTACATGGTTGAACAAACCCTCAGCCCATTAAAGGGAATTACACTTATTAGCATGGAGAAGTTCAACTTTCAAGAACTAAAACTCAGAAAAGTAACGGTGATAAAGGAAATTGACATAGAAGGTGATTCGATTGTCTTATTCACAGCAAACAGTTATCTAGAAGAAAATTGGGGGGTTTATGGCCAACACTTTTAAATTATAAATTCTTTGATCATGGCAAGCTGGAATAGCAGGGTGTAGCTGCAAACTTTGCAGAGAGAGGGATTGAAATGAAAGAGGGCTAAGTCATAGTGGCTTAAGGCCTCATGGTTGACTTCAACAAGGATGGCGTAGAAATAGCCAGAGAAGCTCTTCTAATGATTTGCCCAAATTGAAGGAAGCACATTGCCCATAACTACTTTTTCCTTCTCGAAACTGAAGAGGCCATGAAGGAAACCTTTTAATTACAAGGTTTATGCCAGTCTCACAGCCTCTGGCATCATAATAACACTGGTGAAGGAGTATCTACTATCTAGATGTGCAATTGTGTGCAATCTCTAACCAATGGCATACACTGGCAGTACTATACAAATTCACTGGTATTATTTGGAGGCAACTTTGTAATACCGAGGTGTTCCACACAGGCAACCTATCACAATAAGGGACTTAAAACTGCACTCATGCTGGTAAGGAGAAAATTGGGGAGCAAAACTTTCCAGTAAAATTCAGAAAGAAGGCAGTACCACAATTTCATTTACGAGAGTACTGTGGTATGCAGGCTTATGTGAGGGGATAATGGAGTATGGCTAATGGTGCAAGGCATTTTTTGAAACCACGAAGATCAGCTTAGGTTTCTTACAAGCACATGGTTGAAACTCGCCCTCTTTTGCTCGAAGCTAAGCACTTCAACAACTCAAACCGTCAGCCCTTTAAGTTTTGAAGCATTTGATGAGAATTCTCCAAAGCTCGGGATGCGGTTGGTCTGCACCATTAAAGGAAGGACCTAGCCAATCTGCTAAATAGAGCTAAAAGTCCTACGGTGAGATGGAATGAGAATAAGCTCGGTAATTACTTTAGCAGGGATAAGTGATTAGATGGTGAAATCAAACAGCTCCAGGCTTATGGAAACAAACTCAGGAGCAACTCAACAAAATCAGAAGCATCTTAACCCTAAGCTAGTAGAGAACCAAACGTACCTCTGCTGCATAAATTTTTTCGGAGGCAAAATTCTTGCATCAAATGGTTACAACAAGGAGATAGTAGTACTAAGCTCTTAAACAAGTCCAGCACCATAGGTTGAGAGCCGTATAAGATACAGCAATATGGATCAACAGAAGTCTTGGAGGACATTGGCTGAGTCGGATCTGCAAACCATTCCTATTTCAGCACTAGGTGGGTGAGACAGCCAGTGAATGAAGCCTCTATATAGTTCTCCTAGCATGGGAGTGACAGCATAATTTGAAGATAGATATCTCTTACAAACCAAATCACCTTAACAAAAGTGAAACGCATCAGCAACTAACTCCCAACAAAAGCTTATTATTCATCAAGTATTGGAGCATTATCAAAGGGAAGAGTGTTATGCTGCAGGAGGGGCCGGCTGAACCGGTCCAATGGTGACCACTCCTATGCTACAGCCGTCGGCCCAAGCAAGAGGGGGGGTGTGGGGCAGCCCTAGTGGGTCCCTCTACTTAATTAAATTGCATTTATGAGGGAAAATTTGAATTAGGGGCTGTTTAGGAATTTTACAAGTTTCCTTTGGCTTTAATTAGTCCTTTGGGGGCTAGGATGGAGGGAATCTTGAGATTTGCTGAATTTTGAGATCTAGGATTTTGTTTTGTGTGGGCTCTAGACTTTGCTAGAGATTTGGATGGTTGTTTCTTCCTCTCGAATTGAAGAAATTTGTATCTTGCTTTGTTTTTCTTGTTTGTTGATTGAATCAAAGTTATTTCCCTTGTGTTTCCTTCCTCTCCAATCTACTAAATTTTCTGCATGATTTTTGCTGATTTCTCTTTGAAATCAGCCCTCGTTCTCGCTGTTTTTGCCAATACTATCTAGGTTTGCTTGCGAACTCAAGTATTACCCTTAGGGTTACTTGCGAACTCAAGTACTTCCTATCAAAGAGCTTCAAAGATATTCAAGAATTATTTATGCCAGGTTACATGTCCAAGTGTGGAAGCAAAGACATTGTACTCATTCTAGAAGTTCGAACTTCCAATCATTCAAAAATTAACCAGTTTTCTTCCTTCAGATTCATAATTAAATACTGTGAAAAAACTGCTGGTAAATAAAATGAAAACCATCATCATAAAGCCAGTGTCCCCCATCAACGAGCATCCTAGATAACAGATTGCTCCAATAGATGAGCACCTTGAGCGAAGTTTGTATCATTCTTTTACTTTGTAGTTACAGAAAACTAGTTTCAATCTCCACATAGACAATCTTGTTCTTTAATAGAACAGATGGTTGAGATGGGAAATAAGAAAGACTCAAAAGCACGGGATTCATAACAAGTACAAGGTAAGCATCAGTATGGGGGTAAAAATAAAATGTTATGGCAAGTAAATGAGGCAAACTATAGCAACTAATAAAAGACAAAGGATGTGCCTACAGAGATTTGAATAAATGCAGAGCGGTAGAATTAAGTAAATGGCCAATTTTCCAACAATGAGATATCAGAGACGCTAAAACTTAGACCAGCCTATGTACTTGTTTTACTCGTTAAATGTTAAAAGGTTATGAAAAAAATGGCGGCATCATCTAAATAGGTGCAATAAGAATGCACTGTAAATTATAAATGAGCACGGCACTTTGTCCATATAATGAAGAAGAATCGAAGTCAAAGCACAAAAGTGAAAAGAGTAAGTTCAGACTTCAGAAAGTGGCATCCCTCCCATTATCTTGAAACAACAACTTGTACTATGAGTCAAAGACATGCATTTAGGATGCAGATGATGACATCTCTAGCTACTGGACGCCTGCGTCCAAATAGGTTGATGCCAAAATCATACCATGATATGCCCAGCTGCAAGCTGACTGTGCGGCACAAAATGAACGGTAGAGGGCATTGCAATGCCTGGTTGAAAACTCCCATTTGTCGAAGCTTGATTTTCGGTCTCAGAAAGTGATTGCTTCTGCGGTTCATCTTCCCCGCTGCTTTCCGAACCTTTTATTGAGGGGAGAAACAATAAATAGAAATTACTTGAAACCAAAAATGGAAAATTGAAGTCAGGAGTCAAGTAACTCAACTAAATACATACCAAAACACTAAAAAATGGAGAAGGTGGATCATAGAAAATAGTCTATATATATATAAAGGATTCCAAGTTTTCAATCAAGCAACTTCCAACCATCTCAAAATTCTTAACATGGGTTCCAAAACATATCTTGGTATAGCAGACAAAAAAAAGGAAAAAAAAAAAACTTTCATAGTCAGGACCCGCATTTCACAAAATATTCAGTCAAGTCACCCATTATCAGATCGTGCAGCTATATGAGAACCAAACACACTCTCCACTTGATTTAGATATGACAGTAAGCTATTAAATGAATATTAAAATCTAGTTTATGTACTTTCCTAATTCTCTCTACAGAAAAATCATTTCCAACTTGAAGAAATACCCATAGCTTTCTTGATTTGTTTTCCATGTTATGAACTTAACAATAGAAATATAGCGAACTTAATCATACTATGCATTCACCATCAAAAACCAGTCATTAACATTTCTCTCAGGCTGATGCCAAAAATGCAGTCCAAAAGAACAAGAATTGCACACAGGCACGTTCATAAACTAGGACATAAAAGTTTTATATATATATATATATACAATGAAGAAAACATTGTAACTTTTACTTAACATGAGATAAGGTAGACTTTTACCAGAAAAATCAACTGCTGCAGATGTCATCATTCAAATGAAAGCTCCTGAATAAATCCAAAAACTGTGACTAGTGCTGAGAAGATTATGATAAATCAATTAATTGTTCCAGGAGAAGATTCGATAGCTCTTCATAAATAATGTCAGCTCACCATACCAGATCCTGATAATTAAGAATCAAAGCATCAGCTTCTAACTCAAGCACAGAACCTCATGAAAATCCTGGGGTGCAATTTCAAGAAAGCATTATTATATAGATATGAATAAAAAATGCAATAGCATTAATCCTCATCAATGTAAAAAGAGTAATAAATAAAGTCTTCAGTTCATTCAACTAACCAAACCAAGAAACAGATAAAGTGCACAGAGTTAAAAACCCTTTCCTCATAAAAGGTATTGTTAGAAATGCCTGAGAGTGCATCGAGGTCTTATAGTCCCCATAATAAGGAATTGCCCATAAAAGAAAGATGAAAGTGACTAATAACATCTCAAATGAAAATATTAAGGATATGGATCTAATGATTACTTGAGGGGATGACCCACAAGACAGAGTAACAACTCAATGCAAGGAATTTACATTTCTTCAACAACTAAAAGAAAAAAAGCTTGAATTGAAGTCATAATATCCCAAGAGAATATTTGGCATGACAACCAACAAGAAAGTATGGCTTACGACTCCAAAACAACAAGAGTGAGCTTCCTAAGTTGGTTCTTACATTACTACTCAGGGTGAATGCCCACCCAAATCTAATGCAAATAAAGAGAATAGGCGAGGCTATTCTGCCCGGTAAAAAGATGCCCACAAATGAACTTATAACCCAACCATGAAAAACTAGGAATCTCGACAATTGAGCTCGCATCCTATAGACATGGAATACCAATAGCCATGTTAATGAACTCTCTAAGCTATACAAGAATGTAAACCAGTATAGAGGAAGATGGGTGATCTCACACTGTAAGCAGGATTACTTGATATGCACGCTGGGGTTATGTGAATAATTAGAGCATTAGCCTAATCTACATGCACAAATGCCTCATGTCTGTTGACAATTATGCATCGGTAAGCATTTGCCTACTAATCTTGTGTTTATACCATAGGTTGCATAGCCTATGCTGATATACCACATCTGATACATAGCTTTCAGTAACTTACAACAACAACGACAATATTAAGCCTTTATCCCACTACGTGAGGTCAGCTACATGAATCATTTTTCTCCATTGTGCCCTATTAAGAGTCAAATTCTCATTTAAATATAATAAAGAAAGGTCATTTCTGATATTTTTAACCAAAGTTTTTTTAGAACAACATCTACCTTGCTTAAAATAGGCCAAATTTAATACATCTACTCTCCTAATAGGTTCATCGGAATGACGACATTTTACATGACCAAACCATCTAAGGCGACTCTCTCTAATCTTATCTATCACTGGAACTACTCCAAACTTTTCTCGAATATGTTTGTTTCACATCCTGTCTCTAAGAGTAAGTCCACTCATCAACCTGAGCATCCTCATCTCAGCAACACTTAACTTAATATTATACTTCTCTTTTAATGGCCAACATTATGCAATAATAAACTAAATGAATTATTGTTTTTATAAGTTAATTGAAAATTGGACAAGTGATAGATGAATTTAAGAGGGTTCATCCCATTGTTTTAATTTGGATATATAATTTATCCTATAAGCCTACTTGAATACAAGAAATGGCAAATCTACAATTATCTCTAGGATGGTAGTAAAAAAAGGGCGGAAGAAAGGATTAAATATTTCATATCCTCCATCACTTAGGCTTCTATCCTAGAACTTCATGGGCTTTGCCTCAGCACATCACAGTACATCATTGCAAAAACACACAAAGCAATTATTACAGACAAAAATTTTTGTTCATTGATTCATTAAAATAACCTCAAAAGGACTAAACATAAATAGGGGCAATATAATGCAAACCCTAATGAAAACCAACAAAGTGGGTAGCAATACGTATATGTGTGTGCAGGTGTGTATGTTTAAGTGCATCACAGGCAAGCTATAAAAATGTAATTTTCATAAATTACAAAAGTAGGGATCTAGAATTACCTTTTAAGCTTGGGTCTAACCTAAAAGCTTGGGTCTAACCTAAAATCTTAACCTAATATGAGCTTTTCAAAAGAAAGGGGGGTTTCAATGATTTTATTAGCAGTCAAGTGCCCTACAACTAACAGTAGATCTCTAACACAAGAGGATTGTAATTAATTTTTTATTTGGCACTCAAATCGACAATGAAAACAGCCCATGAAAATGCTCAATAATAATCATTCCAAAGGGAATGAAACTCATTGGCCGAGAGTATCCAAATGTTAAGCAATCAACTTGAACTCGAGCAAGACATAGCAAGTCAGGCTACGAGTCATCAGATACAAACTAAATATCATGAGTGGCATTAGCCGAAATGCGCTAAAAGAAGTCTAGGTGTGATAATGGTGAATCATTGTCCGGCGAAAGCAAAGTCAGTAGGTGGAGGAACTAGCAAGAAGCACTCACAACAAGGCATCAAGCTAATAGATCATTAGGCCAACTGGTTAGCTTGCGATGGTCTCAAAAATAGTTGACACCTTGAGAATAGTGACCAACAAGCTATCTCAAGAAGAGATAAAAATTAGTCTTAAGATGATATAGTAGCATGCCATCTTAGTACGAGACAACGAGTCATCTTGGATAAATGGGAAGCAAGCCAACAAGAGATGACGCAACGTTAAAAAATGTTGGTTGGTACCTAGCAAGCGGGTGTTCTTTAACATGGTTACAAGGCCTCATGCAACAACAAATTTAAGGTTCACCTCCAGGAAGCTTAGGTTTCTAAGGGGGTTGTCAACCATCCCTAGCCATGGGATGGCGAGTAGAGGGTGGATAACTGTGTGGGACTCGACGCTTGATTTGAAACTTTTTTTTTACATAAAATAATGTAAAACCATTTTGTTAAAATCTCACCTCACTCCTCTCCCCTTCCCTATTTTCATTTTGGTCGGGTGAGAGAAGAGAGAGAAAGGGAGAGAAAAGAAGAGAGAAGGAGAGAGAAAGCGGGGTTCGGGACGATATTTTTGTCGCTCCAATTGCGAATGTGTTCTGATCGTGGTAGGTAACAAGAATACTATTTTGTTTTCAATGATTTTATGTTTTGTCAATTTTCCTCCCCCTAAAATTAATAACTATGCAATATCTCTTATTTTAATGATTTTCCACTGCATAACTTTTGATATGTGATATATATCATTATCCTTAGCATATTGATTGGTTAATATTAAAATTTTGCGAGGTGGTCTTATTTATATGCTATTTTAACTAAAATGGGTAGTATAATACTGAGTATAAAATTACTAGGAGCCAGTATATTGCATTGGGATATGAAATACATTATATGCATAAATTTATCGTTCATTTAGTCAAACATACATTTTTGGCATATTCTTGACATATTGATGAATATAGTGATAATTGCATTGGTTGTATATGAAATTTGTTATTATTATCTATTTCTATTTTCAATGACTTTATGTTTTGTCGATTTTCCCCCTCTTGAAATTATTAAAAAATCAATAACTCTTATTTTAATTATTTTCCACTTCATAACTTATGATATGTGACATATATTGTTATCTTGAGCATATTGATTGATTAAATACATTATTTTAACTAAAATGGATAGTATAATGCTGAGTATAAAATGCCAGGAGACAGTATATTGCATTTGGATATGAAATACAAGATATGCATACATTTATCATTCATTTAGTCAAATATATATTATTGGCATATTATGGGCATACTGATTAATATAGTTATAATTAGGGGTGTCAATATTTGACATGACATGAAAACCGAACTAAAATCTGACCCAAAAATTTTGGGTTACCCGATTCAATTTCAAAACGGGTTGAGATCGAGTTCCCGGATTCGACCTGTTTGGAAAAACTGGTCAGGTTCAGGTTGAACCGGCAACTCAAACTCAACATGTGTTAACCCAGGAAAAACGCCCTGACGAACACGTCTTGTCCGCACTGACGAGCCGCGTCGAGTGCCCGCGCTTGATGTCACCTGACGACTTAGGTTGAGTCCCATCCACGGCGGTCTCGTCAACGTCCGCGGTCGCCGACTTGGCGCTGCCTAGCCTCGCCGTACAATTCCTCCTTCGACGATGTTCCAATCATGGCATGGTGCTTCCAGCACTGAGAGCGTCGTCAAACGCCAGGTGCCAGTCTGCACGACTGATCGACACGAGCCCCATCGTCCTGCCGTGAACGTGAGCCCCACACGTCCATGCATAAGACGTCCCTGGTTCACACAATCGTGTCAGGTCGGGTCAACCGATTTGAACTCGAGTCAGTTCCAGGTTCAACCCCAACTCGACCCGAAACCCGAATTTGACACCCCTAGTTATAATCACATGGGTTGTATTCGAAGTTTGTTATTATGATTTATATAATGTAAAATGAGTGTAAATGCAAGAAAGGCTGGTTGGAAATGTTTAATTGATTTAGGTTAGTTGGAGATATGTTACCATATATAAGAGGGTGGGCCGACGGGCTTTTCTTTACATAAGATTTGTGATATAATCCTCAATGATATAACAATGTAGGTATAAGGAGACTGATTTATAAGACACTATACGTCAACACATTAAGTGATGCCTTCTTACATTAAAGTCACTTGACCTGTGACTTGAGACATATGATATAAGATTGATTCCTAACAACAAGACTGATATGATTGAGATTAATTCTTGTAGGATTTTCCTACAGGACGCTATATAGGAAAAAATGCCACCGATAATCAGGTGTCCAATCTTGCTTGCATATACATATGGCATGAGCATAAATGATAAATTGTATAAGTGACATGATATTATATGATATATATATGACTAATACATGCACATGATATGACTGATAATATTGACAGTAGGGAATACATAATATATATTGCAAGTGGTATTGATGTTATACAACATGCATACACATATCAACATATGACATTATAGATAAGGTTGATATGATTAATAAGATTGACACATGATACATTGCATTTGATAGAAACAATGATATACATGCAATGATATGCATGCATATGATAGAAGTAGCATAATAAATATTCAATCAATGACAAGTGAATTGATTTAAATAA